TAAAACCCTTAAAGACATGGTGGCTATTGCCAATCCCACATTTGAAGACACTATGGCTGTGGAGACCGGGTTTTCAGATACTAATCTATGGCTTGAGTGGATGAGATATAATGCTAATTCACACAACAAGACCAACAGTTATGTTTGTGGTGGGGCTCGACCCCATCTGGGTACAGTGCCTTTAAATTTGCCTCTAGAAGTTGAGATGTGTTTCTTAAGCCTTTATGCACAGTCAGCAATTAATTCATCAGTGTGTGAATCATGGAAGAAGGTTTACCCAATAACCCAAGGGAGTATCAGGCCACCTGATGGCATCACCGTGTACCCAGGTAACTACACTTGCTACACAATATATGGAACTACCGGTAAATTTGTAAGTAAATTCCCCTCTGGCTACTGTGCCACTTATCGAAAACCTCCCACTGCCACAGATCAAGTTAAATCTGTAGGAGATATTTATTGGCTATGTGGTGACATGCAGCTCAGATCAAAGATGACTGGCCTGTGGTGGGGAGAGTGTGCTCTGACTAAAGTTATCATGCCCATACACATATATCCTGATAACCACCAAGGCCCATACGATTTACCACACACGTATCTTAGAGTAAAAAGAGAAACCCCCATTCGAGGTAGTTTTGACCCACATGTATACATCGATGCCATTGGAGTACCAAATTAGTTCAGGGCCAGAGATGAAGTGGCGGCAGGATTTGAATCCTTGATCCCACTCATCACTGCCAACAAGAATGTTAACTGGATCAATTATATTTACTATAACCAGCAACGATTTGTCAGTTATACCAGAGAGGCCCTCCAGGGCTTAGCAGAACAATTACAGACTACCTCCCAAATGACATTCCAGAATCGAATGGCCTTAGATATGACCCTAGCAGAAAAGGAGTGCGTGTGCAAAATACTCCCCAATACTATGACATGCTGTACCTTCATCCCAGACAATACAGGCCCTAACGGTAAAGTAACCATGGCCATAGAGAAATTAGAATGTCTTTCTGACGAATAAAAGAGGAATTCGGGAGTCCCCAATTCATGGGACAGATGGTTTGGATGGATGAGTGGGTGGCAGAAAACTCTCTTTCAAGTAGGTATGGTAATTCTCTTTCTCTTCCTGACTTGCTGTGTAATACCCTGTGTACAGAAGTATTTACAGAAGACTGTAGGTCAAACTATTGACCCCACTACACCTACATTCCTACATCAGGATACTGACGAAATGGACTGTGACACCCCTCACACACCTCTTCAGTCCCACCCCCTCAAACAGACAACTACTTCCATTTAGGGACAGCATAGGGATAGCGTCTGTCTCTACGGGCAGAAGTCTGACGCAGGAGATGTAGTGGGTTAGCCGCTGCGGGATAATTGCACAGTGAAGTGTTCGAGGCCTGTTCAGACAGATGAGCTGCAGGCAATTAGGGACATCATTAGGGCTAGTTAGTAGTTGTCTGTCCTTTCCTCTTTTATCTTAGTAAATAGTCATTTTAAGGTGGGACTTGTTAGTAAAATGCCTATTTACTCAGCATAACTACAATCAGCATTATTCAACTTTCTATGTGATTTACCTAAAATGGCCGCTAGGGAGTTTCCTTCTTGACATCGACTAACACCCTCATTAACAAGATGGTGCTGGAATCTGGGGGAGACCACCAAGATACCAGTGATGTCACACCCGGTAGGAAGAGCACTAAATAAACCACTTAACACCTAACCAATTATTGATGTATTATTTCATGTTATCTCTGACAATGCACATGATGTAATTTTGCTTTATAAGGGTCATGCCGTCCCCTCAGAATAAACATTCCTCAAGTTTTAAATTAACCCGAAACTTGTGTCTGGTGTGAATTACTTTAGGAGCGTGCACGCATTACTTCTTTAATTTGACCTGGGGGCAGATACGTAAGATAATCAATTTATTGATTGATTTCCACATCAATGTGAACCTGATTTTGTAGCCTAAATTAGAGAAATTCGGAAAAGAAACTATGGTGACAGAGAGACCACAGACTGCGATGCAATTATCATTAAGAATGTATGTAGTTTTGCGCACTATCTCACCACCTTCTATTGTGCTTGTAGGCATGGCCTTGCTAATATGTGGCTAAAACGTGTAAGATACTGAGGCCTACAGCATATCCAACAGGTCCAGGCATTGCTTATTCTTGCAATCAGACCTGTCAGCATTTAAGTAATGGTTTGGTAAAATAATCATTATGATGTGATAAGTTATACTGATGTTAACCTAGCAGGTGAAGGAAGTAGGTGTGGTTGACATGATCTTAAGTTTAATTATCAGCTTACAATGAAGCTGAAAGAATGAAGAAATGGTGAAATAGCTCAGTGGGCTAATGCAACAGCAGAATCTGTTCTAACCCTTGGGGGTCGCAGGTTCAAATCCCGGCAGGGTTGACTCTGCCCTTTATCCTTCCGAGGTAGATAAAATGAGTACCATTAAATTTGGTGATAGTAACAACCCCTGGATGTTGGGCTTAAGGTACTTGGAAACCAGAGCAATCTGAATATTCTTTTCCTGGTTAAACACTTTGTTATTATAAGTGTCTTGTGGTGTATGACACCCATTTAGCAAGTTCTATATTAGTAGCTGGAGTTGGTTCAATATGGCTGGCAAAGCTCATACAATGTTTAAATAATCTCTGGTTGGATATTGAAACCTCGATATGTGAGGTTATATTGTATGGTTAATAGAATTGAAATTAGCTGAATTTGACCAGTCAGTGACCACCATGTTGAAAAGTATAGACTTAGAGAGACAATATTGCCATTTTAATTGTGTTGCATGTAAAATATGCATTTTCAGGTCTGCAATCAGACTTCATAGCATGTAGCTCTGAAGTAAGCTTTTGTTTTAAGTGTCACTGAATTAAAAACAATTTAGTCAGCAGTGGAGGCCATTTTAAAGGACCACTATAGTCACCCAGACCATTTCAGCTCAATTAAGTGGTCTGAGTGCCAGGTCCCCCAGGTTTTAACCCTTTAGATGTTTTCAGAGAAACTGCTATGTTTACATTGCAGGGTTAATCCAGCCTCTAGTGGCTGTCTTCCTGACAGTAGCTAGAGGCGCTTCCGCGCTTCTCACTGTGAAAATCACTGTGAAAATCACTGTGAAAATCACTGTGAAAATCACAGTGAGAAGACACTCATGTCCATAGGAAAGCATTGAGAAATGCTTTCCTATGAGCGTTTTTAATGCGCACGCTGCTCTGGCCACGCATGCGCATTCGGCTCCACTCAGGAGCTGACGTTGGAAGGGGAGGAGAAGTCACCAGTGCCAAGGGAGCCCCGCACTGGTAAAGGTTTGTTTCCCCGCTAGACCTTTTTATTCATATATAAATTATTAGGCACATGTAGATTATTGAAAATTGTTAGCCTAAATTAGTATATCATGATATGGAGTGCCCATCTATAATGGGTGCCATTTTACTTTGTAATTAAGTTATTTGTCAATGGTGGAGCTATGTGTGAATGTGCCATACATCACCAAAAGGAATTTTCATCTTACTGATAATTGCATCAGAGGTATACCTTAACATGCATCAGCGAGCGATCACCAATTATACTGTTTCTATATATCCTGTGATGCAAGTGTGTGAGTCAGTATTATCATTAATAATTTTGTAGTCAAGAAAAAAAATAACATATAAGTAAATATTAAATTAAAACACATATGAATATTAGTTCCTGGATTAATATCAGCCAGGATTTATTAATTTGAGAAACTATAAAATAAGTAAATAAATGTGTAGCCATTTTTGTCAATTAAAACTTTTTTTAAATTAAATTGATTACTAAATTAAATCCTGGTAAAGGAAAGATTTTTTTTGTGATGATTATAGTGTTTGATCAGCTTAAAAAGTGTGCCTGCTTAAATCTCAACATAATATTTTATATTTTAATATGTTGAGGTGGTCTGCACATTCATCACAATTTCATAGGTCATATCACATAAAAAGTGTTAACGCATTTTATTGTCATCATTGCCAGTGGTTTTAGATGGGTACTCTCAGTACTAGAACCACTAAATCTTAAAGTAGTGGCTTTGGTCCTGCAATGTTAACAGGACTCAAGTTCAGCATCCATGTGCCCACCATGATGATGCCAAACACTGATTAATCTCCCCGTAGGAGTGTATTAGTAGAATGCATCTCTATGAGTATATGCATATTGGCCCAGCCCAGCGATCGATCGCATGCACAGTAGGCTACCCTATGCTTTTCTTTGAGACACAGTGGATTGGTTGAGGTCATCCTTATTGATGATCTTAGCAAGATCCTAGTGGTGGCCACAGTGAAACAAGCACAGCGGGAGATAAAAGGTGAATCAATATTTAATTTAATAAACATGTTAAGGGGGTGGGCTAAATCAAAATTACTGAAAAGATACTCTAAAGTTAGGAATATATGTCTGTATTGCTAATGCTGGATTCCCTTTAAATGCATGTTATAAATTATAAAATAATGTTTGCCTAAGTTAAAGGGTTGTTCTTTTTTTTCTACAGTGATTAGTGCTATTCTCCACTGTAATTCTTTTCAGTATGCCTCTAAAATATTCTACACTCAGGGTTGGACTCAAGCTCGGGGTTGTTCAGTTAAATTGAATTCCACTAGTGTTTACATACACAAGAGATGGGAAAATAAGTAACGGGTCCAGGTGTGACAACAGACTGGAAAAGTTAGGAAGCGATTTATTAACCAAGAAAAGGAAATTATCATATTGAAAGCATTTTCAAGAAAACCAGAAAGTCAGTACTAATCATCGTTGTCCACCGCCATGATTACTTCTGAAATGCAATATTACCAATTCATGAGTATTTTCTTACTCTAAGCTAGTACAATAACATAATCACATATGAGTCTAACCATAATATATTACTAGACAACACAACTAACAGAATGTGTGAAAGACACTTTTACAAGATAAGGGTAATCATGTGCTAGTTGGTTCAATGTACGCATAAAGCAGTGAAATCTGACATCATAGAGCAGGGATAGGCAACCATCGGCACTCCAGATGTTGCAGACTACATCTCCCAGAATGCTTTTAAAGAGAAAATTGTGGCAAAGCATCAGGGGAGATGTAGTCCACAACATCTGGAGTTCCGAAGGTTGCCGTCATAGAGAGATTAAGCAGTAGCCAAAGCGATATGTTGTGTGAACATTAGTGAGCTCTGCTCTTGGAGATCTGAGCGTCCAGACATTTTAGGAGCTTAGATTCAAGGCTTCTTAGACTACTGTCCACTCTCTTTATAGAAACACTTATGTTTTCTGCAAGGCAGTGGATCCAAGCTATCAATTTATAAATGACACCAACAGTAAATTGGGCCATAGGGCAAGCCATTCTCCAATTATGTTCCACAAAAGAGTTATGTTTCATGCTACATATTGTGCAGTTACAGTGATCATATGTTAAAGAGACACGATAAGCATCAAAACAATTTAAACTTAATAAAGCAAGTTTGGTGTATAGATCATGCCCCTGCAGTCTCACTGCTCAATTCTCTGCCATTTAGGAGTTAACGCGTCACTGTCACGCTGTACTTACCTTTTCCCAATCGCTTCCTCTTCTCTTCCTCTTTCCTAATCTGTCTTCCTTTTTTCATTTTTTTATTTATCTCTAACTAAAAAAATGAGACAAAGTAGGAACAACTTTAGCTTATGCATTTTTCCCAAGCATGACTGGCCCTCTAGAAGTGTCAATCCCCCCAACCGTCACCAGTGACAGCTACAGGGAATTAGCTCTCTGGAGGATCCTGCTGTCTTGTGGGATCCTCTATAGAACTCAATGCTGTACTCTTGCACAAGAGCAATGGGAAAGCAGTGACATTGGCTGCTGGTTCTAAAGCACCAAGAACTGAAGAGGACCTACCGGAGGAAGATGACTGTACCCACAAAGGACAGGCTCAGATAAGTAGAACTCTCCTTCACCTTTTTCCCCAGCCACCAGATCCCAGTGGCGATGCAAAAGGTCCCATACAGTGACAATACCGCTTTAAATAATAATAATAACAGAGTATTTAAAGGACCACTATAGTGCCAGGAAAACATACTCGTTTTCCTGGCACTATAGTGCCCTGAGGGTGCCCCCACCCTCAGGGTCCCCCTCCCGCCCGGCTCTGGAAGGGGGAAAGGGGTTAAAAACTTACCTTTTTCCAGCGCTGGGCGGGGAGCTCTCTCCTCCTCTCCTCCTCCGAGCCGCCCCGTCGGCTGAATACGTACGCGCGGCAAGAGCTGCGCGCGCATTCAGCCGTTTGCATAGGAAAGCATTCATAATGCTTTCCTATGATTATGCTCTCCCGTGATTTTCACAGTGAGAATCACGCGCTTCTAGCGGCTGTCAATGAGACAGCCACTAGAGGAATTGGAGGAAGGCTTAACCCATTCATAAACATAGCAGTTTCTCTGAAACTGCTATGTTTATAAAAAAAATGGGTTAACCCTAGAAGGACCTGGCACCCAGACCACTTCATTAAGCTGAAGTGGTCTGGGTGCCTAGAATGGTCCTTTAACCAGGAAAGGTATATTCAGATTACTCTAGTTTCCAAGTACGTCCTGGGAATGTTACTTTTTGCCCCAATCCAGGGGATGTTACTATCACTTTATTTATGCAGCCCTAGTCACGCCTCCCTGCATGGCACCTACACAGTCTCCCTACACATTTCCCGGAAAGAGAGATCTAATATTTAAACATCCTTTATTGTGCAGGGGCCACTTGTGTGCAATTAAAGTTCAATTAAAAAAAGCAAAAGATAAAAACGTCTAAAGTAAACACCTGATTGAAAATAAAACCAACTTTTGTTGTAGGCTGTGTAGGAGCCAGGATAGATGTGGCTAGGACTGCATAATTTACCTCCTAAATGGCAGATATTTGATCAGTGTGATTGCTGAAACATGATCTATACACTAAAACTGCTTCATTAAGCTAAAAATGTTTTGTTGCTTAGGGTATCCCTTTAGACACAATCTACGTGAAAGGTCAGGTACATGTCCAGAAATTACATCAAATGCCTCACTGTAAAACTAAGAAAATGTCAGTACTGTATCCACAGATAAAAGTGTAATTCTTTACATCTGGTCTAATACTGAGACATGTATAGTAAAAGCACGACCAATAAACTATCAATTGTTCATTGGTAGCAGAGAAAAAAATTTATCTTTAGAAAACTCAACACTTCTCACCAAACATCTGGTGGCCAAATAATTTGTTACATGAGTCTAAGAATAGAGAAAATACTTATGTCTTTTAAAATAAATGCATTTCTTTCAAAATCATTGGATTTGACACATACAATATTCCATCTCAATTTTTAAAAGGATAAGGCAGGATTTAAGGAATAAAAGAAAATAAAGCAGATATTGAAATCATTTTCAAACATCGGAGGACTTGTCAAAGCTTCAGGTATAGGGTTCGATATATTTTCTGGTATTCATTATCCGATGTCCAGAATATTCGCTCATTTGTCTTCATTGGATTCTAAAACAAAACAAATATTTGGATACCAGTAACTCATAAACATTTAAAGAAAACAAAAAAAAAAATCTACAGAAATATCTATGAATTAAGGATTTAGTAAGTTACATGTACAATATCAGTGGCATTTTACAATTTAATGTTTCACTTCTATTAAATAGCACCTTGTATGAGCAGTTTGACAGAATTTAGTCGGGTGTAATTTAAGCTCATCCTTCTTGATTAATTTATATTTTGGTTTTCTGCTTACATAAATTAAAAAATAAACAGATGAATGTTGTGCTGTATGAATATAATAATCAACATATGAATAGCCATTTATGCTTATTTCAAGTAATTAAAGGAATACTATAGAGTCAGGAACACAAACATGTATTGCTGACCCTGAAGTGTTAAAAACACCATCTAGCCCTCCCTCCCTCACCCCCTCCCCCCCTCCCCATGTCCCCTTGCCTTCCCCCCTTGCCTCCCTAAATACAATGAGGGGGAAAAGTATTTGATCCCCTGCTGATTTTAAATGTTTGCCCACTGACAAAGAAAGGATCAGTCTATAATTTTAATGGTAGGTGTATTTTAACAGTGAGAGACAGAATAACACAAAACGTTTTGTTGTACAGATCATGCCCATGCAATGTCATTGCTCAATGCTCTGCCATGTAGGAGTTAATTCATTTTGTTCATACAGTCCTAGTCACACCTCCCTGCATGTGACTTGCACAGCAGTCCTAAACACTTCCTGCAAAGAGGCATCTAATGTTTATATTTCCTATATTGGATTTTTTTTAAATTTAGAAATGTTTATCTCCTACTCTGTTAACAGTTTGCTAGACCCTGCAGGAGCCTCCTGTTTGTAATTAAAGTTCAATTTACAGAGCAGGAGATGAAAACTTTTAAAGTAAGTAACATCTGATTGAAAGTGAAACCATTTTTTTTTTCATGAAGGCTGTCAATCACAGCCAGGGATGGTGTGGCAAGGACTGCATAAACAAAAAAAATGATTTAACTCCTAAATGGCAGTGAACGGAGCAGTGCAACTTCAAAGGTATTATCTATACACTAAAACTGCTTCATTATGCTAAAGTTGTTTTGGTGACTAAAGCATTCCTTTAAGGTTTTGAGGCTGAAGTTTGGCAACTCAAACCTACAGCTCCCACCACAGATTTTCTATGGGATTAAGGTCTGGAGACTGGCTAAGCCACTCCAGGACCTTAATGTGCTTCTTCTTGAGCCTCTCCTTTGTTGCCTTCGCTATGTTATTTGGGTCATTGTCATGCTGGAAAACCCATCCATAACCCATTTTCAATGCCCTGGCTGAGGATAAGGAGGTTCTCACCCAAGATTTGATGATACATGGCCCTGTCCATCATCTCTTTGAAATGGTGCAGTTGTCCTGTCCCTTTAGCAGAAAACACCACCAAAGGATAATGTTTCCATGTTTGATGGTGGGAATTGTGTTCTTGGGTTCACAGACAGCATTTCTCCTCCTCCAAGCACGGCGAGCTGAGTTGATGCCAAAGATCTTGATTTTGGTCTCATCTGACCACAACACTTTCATCTACTTCTCCTCTGAATCATTCAGATGTTCACTGGCAAATTTCAGACAGGCCTGAATATGTGCTTTCTTGAGCAGGAGGACGTTGAAGGCGCTGTCCTTCACGGTGTAGTGTATTACCAATTGTTTTCTTGGTGACTGTGGTCCCAGCTGTCTTGAGATCATTAACAAGATCCTCCTGTGTAGTTCTGGGCTGATTCCTCGCTGTTCTCGCGATCATTGAAACTCCACAAAGGGAGATCTTGCATGGAGCACCAGACTAGGAATTATTTTGCTTTTGACCTCTCTGATCTCTTCAATCTTGACCTTGCTATACTTACCTATATTGTCACTATTCTGTACTCCCTTGACCTCGGCCTGTTCTTTAACTATTCTTCTTTCTCTGTTGCATGCGCACAAGTCCCCCCCTCCAATTCTAACCAAACAGTATAACACTCTAGCATCTGCATTCCTAACACTAGATTATATCTTTAAAAAGACTTGGGAAGCACGGTTGTGGGATAGGACAAATTATTTTGGAGAAAGCAATTACCTTAAAATAAAATACATACTCAAACATATTCTTAGGGAGCTAATGGAATGGAGACTATAAAAATTTCAGAATGAATGAGTTAGGGCTCCTAATAAAGTTCTGTAAGTATTAAAGGGACACTATAGTCACCAGAACAACTACAGCTTATTGAATTTGTTCTGGTGAGTAGAATCATTACCTTCAGGCTTTTTGCTGTAAACACTGTCTTTTCAGAGAAAATGCAGGGTTTACATTACAGCCTAGTGATAACTTTACTGGCCTCTCCTCAGATAGCTGTTAGAGATCAATCCTGGGTCATGGCTGCCTAAAATGCATCCACACATTCAGTGTCTCCTCTCTCTGCATGCAGACACTGAACTTTATTCATAGAGATTCATTGATTCAATTCATCTCTTTGAGGAGATGCTGATTGGCCAGGGCTGTGTTTGAATCATGCTGGCTCTGCCCCTGATCTGCCTCTTTGTCAGTCTCAGCAAATCCTATGGGGATGCATTGTGATTGGATCAGGCCACCACTTCTGATGATGTCAGCATACTACTTGTTTTTTTTTTAGGCAAACGGCATCTATAGCTTCAGGCTTGAATACAGTAAGATTTCGCTATATTTATGGCGGCCAAAGGGGCCCAGGGGGGCTAGATGGTGGTTTTAACACTATAGGGTCAGGAATACATGTTTGTGTTCCTGATCCTATAGTGATCCTTTAACTGTAGATATGTATAGAAACAACAAAGTTGAAACTATTAATGGCCTCTGTCAGAGCACAGTGAATAATAATGGGTGTAAATTAGAAAAGATTAATTTAGTTTAGGTTTGTTTTTAAGGTTTTGTGTTAGTGTTAGGACTTAATTAACCTAACTCTAAAGGATTTGGGAATCCAATGTAGGTATTTATTTGTTTGTGCAGAGCTGTGGGTAAAGTATATATGTGTGAAACAGAATGAATTATTGATTGCAATAGGATAATTTGGCCCATGTAGGAAATCTACTGACATTTGCAGTAACTGAGCTGTAATAATTAGTTGGATTAGAAATCAAATAATGCAATTTTAAGTTTAATGCATTTTGATGAGTAAAATACGTTTGTGAGTCTAGCAGAGTTATTTACTACAATGAGAATTCAAATTGAATTCTAAATGAATTGCAAATTTAAGGTCCGAGTGGTAACCAAAAACAAAGCTGACTTAGAGAAATTTTCCAGTTCGGCTATTTTCACCTTAAATTTGAAATTCAGTTTATAATTCAACCCAAATTCTCACTTTAGTTAATCACCTTGTCTAAGAACATCAAGCCAGCAAAATCTCTACAAGTTTGACAAAACAGTAGACGATGTCTCCAAAACTCCAAAACTCAAAGTCTGCTCCAAGCTGAGGGCACAGGTTTTATATCCCAAGGAATTATCAATTTTTTTGTTATTGCACTTGAAACACAGTGTGTTATACATACCCAGAGCCTTCGATCAGGTGTCTGTAAGAAGCAATCTCCATCTCCAAGAATGTTTTCTGGTCACTGAGAATCCCATACTTTTCGTCTTGATCTTTCATATACACTAGGACGTCTTCCAGTTGACTTTGCAAGGTGTCTATGTCACTCTGAAGCTCTGTGAGCTGCACAGAGTTATTCTCGAATGTCTCTTCAAGACTTGTCTCGAGAACCGATTTCTAAATCCAACAAATCAAAGTAAATTGTACAATAAAGTAAGATACAATGATGACAGCTTCATGATGAATGTGTAGAGGTGGAGGTGGGTGGCTCATGGAAACCATGTTTTGAAATAAATGACAAATAACTAAAAATAATGTCTGCATTTGAGCACATTGCCCACATACAGTAAATACAATTAAATCATATATTTCTAATGTAAAGGTATTTAAAACTGCTATAGAAATCTTTATCAATCTCTGAACTGCTAATGTAATGCTGACAGTGAAATGGTAGAGCCCATTCACTCCTCCCCCTCCTTGACTGTAAGAATGGTATCAGCCAGTCACACTTCCTGTACTGTTTGAAAGCAGGGGTTGAGTAGGCATTTTTAGCAACTTACATTCATTATATAAGTGACTAGTGGCTTCGGCCAGATAAATTAGTTCCTCTACAGCAGTGATGGCTAACCTTGACACCCATAAATTGTTTCTGGACTACATTTCCCATGATGCTCAGCTAGCTTTTAGACTCTAAAAGCTAGCTGAGCATCATGGGAAATGTAGTCCAGAAACAATTTATGGTGTCCATGTTAGCCATCACTGTATAATTGAGGATGAGTAAGACTTTATGAACAAGATTTTATACTGCAAAATACATGAAAATAAAAATATTTATACTCGATAATGGTATTGAAGGAATTAATAAAGATCATTGCAAGAGATATTTGTCTAGATAGTCGGTATATACTAATGGGAAACTAAGCATTTGCTTGAAATAATACAAATCCAGAAACATACCATTTGGAGTTGCGTCTGTAGTTTTATCTCCATAGCGTGTGCTGTGTGCTTCAGGTCAATGATCTCTTCCTTCAATTCCTGCAATTCTTCTTTACCAGAAAATAGCCTGTGCTCCAATTCTGAATGCTGCAATACAACGACCATGGGAAAATTTTATCAAGTGAATGTATGAATCTTCGCCATCCCAAATACTAGCTTTGAAACAGGCTGATAAACTATTAAGAACTAATAACTGAGCTGTCAAAATTCCACAGTTAAAGGGACACTAAAGGCACCTACACCACTTCCGCTGAATGAAGTGGTTTGAGTGCTGTGTTCCTGTCCCCCTTAGTCCTGCAATGTAAATCATTGCAGTTTTAGAGAAATTGCAATGATTACCTTGCAGGACTAATACTGCCTCTAGTGGCGGTCAATTAGACAGCCATTAGAGGCATATCTTACTTGCTAGGCGACTTTTGGCCCCTAATTAATGCTGGACGTCATTACGCTTTCTGTTAAATCCCCGTAGGAAGGCATTGAAGCCATACTTTCCTACTGGGAGGGCCTAATGCGCTTGCAGTGCTCACCGCACATGAGCATTAGGACCCCTGACTAATGACGTCGTAAGAGATAGGTGCTGAAATCGGGTGAGTATATAAAAAGTTTTTAACCCTACCAAGTGTCCCTATTTAAGAGGGACTGTCCCTATTTTGGGCTGAGCATTATCTACCTCTCTATTGTAGGATCTGCATATTGCTGGTGTATCTGAGTGTATAACAGAGCTCCACGGCAATAATACTCACATTTTTGTGTTTAGAAATCAGTATGTGTAAATAAGATACATTGTTCTTGTTTTAAATTAAATTTTAGTTGCATAAATAGTTATTAGTAAGTCACCTAAAATTTCTTAGAACAACCCCACCCCAGGCCACACTTACACCCCTAAAATTAAAGTTCCCCTCTTTGTCCATTTCCAATGTCCAGCATATAACATTCATACTCTACACTCTGCAGTTATACCTTGCGTGCAGTTTTCATACCCTATGCAGAACATTCACATAAACCTACCAGCATTGTGGGAAGGACTTTAAATGTAAGTCTGGTCCCGGAAAAAATGGTACAATGGAGGTAAGCAAAAACCATAATCACCGCTATGGCACTTTTCATTCATGTTTTCATTCGTTCAGATTTAGACTTTGAAACTAGGCTGCCTGCCCTGACCTTTTGGACTTTTTTGGATGATTTGAGTATAATCTCACCTCAATCGTTGTGTATCTTCTTGCATTGGATTTAGCAACTGTGTTCTACTTTATTGTTCAAGAAGACTCTTCCTCAGACTAGTTATCTTTACACAGGCATATACGACCAAAAAATTTAATTATGTAAATAATAATGAGGATCTCATTATGAAGAGTAATTTTTGTTTTTGCAGATGGTAGAATACAGTGATGAATTCTCAGTACCCATTTGTTAACCTCCCCATTTTCCATGGGGTAACCAGCCTGAAGCTTTCTAACTGTTGATGAGCCGTAACGAGATACTATAAATATCCCCACCCATTCTTTAACCCCTTAAGGACTGGACTGTTTTTGCGATGTTGTACATTTGCGACCAGGCATATTTTTACACTTTTGTGGTGTTTGTGTTTAGCTGTAATTTTCTGCTCTCTCATTTACTGTTCCCATACAAATTATATATTGTTTTTTTCAGGACAAAAGGGGTTTTCTTTACATACCATTATTTATATAATCTCATGTATTTTTACTTTTACTTGAAAAATCTTTTACTCATCTACAAAAGCGAATGAAAAAACTGCTAAATAGATTCAAAATTTTGTCCTGAGTTTAAAAATACCCAGTGTTTATGTGCTTTTTTTTGCTTGTTTTTGCATGTTATAGGGCTATAGGTACAAGTAGGATATTGCGGTTTCAAAACATACATTTTTAAAATTTATCAATAGTGACGTTGTAACACTATTATCTGTCATAAATCTCTGAATAACACCCCACATGTACATATTTTTTTTAAAGTAGAAAACCCAGGGTATTCAATATGGGGTATGTCCAGTCTTTTTTAGTAGCCACTTAGTCGAAAACACTGGCCAAAGTAAGCATTCATATTTGTTTGTGTGTAAAAAAAGTAAAAAAACTAAATTGAACGCTAATTTTGGCCAGTGTTTGTGACCAAGTGGTTACTAAAAAGGACTGGACATACCCCATTTGCAATACCTTGGGTTGTCTTCTTTTGCAAATGGTATGCCATCATGGGGGTAATTCTCATTCCTGGGCTACCATACGCTCTCAAAGGCAACGTAACCAACCTGGCCATTTTCAATGTAAAAATATTTGACCCATATATTTGACCTTGTAACTTTCAAAAATGCTATAAAACCTGTACATGGGGGGTACTGTTTTACTCGGGAGACATCGCTGAACACAAATATTAGTGTTTAAAAACTGGAAAACGTATCACAACAATTATATCATCAGTAAAAGTGCTGTTTGTGTGTGAAAAATGCAAAAAAAGTCACTTTCACTGACAATATCATCGCTGTGATATGTTTTACTGTTTTGAATCACTAATATTTGTGTTCAGCGAAGTCTCCCGAGTAAAACAGTACCCCCCATGTACAGGTTTTAGGGTGTCGTAGAACGTTACAGGGTAAAATACAGTGCTAGCAAATTCAATTCTCTGGAATTTCGGCCTGGGTTGGCAGGCAGGTCCCTCAAATTGCAATCAATAAAATTACTGAATTATGTAAAAATATTACATAAATACGCACGTAGAATTTAAATATATATGCATATTTATATATTTGAAGTCTACGTGTATATTTATATAATTATTTATGTAATTTTGTATATGGATATATGTATATTTCGTATTATTTTTATTTATTTATATATACATAGATATATATACAATTTCATTCTAAGTGTATTTTGATATAAATATATATATATATATATATATATATATATATATTCATTTTAAAATACAGTTAGAATAAAATTTCATATAGATATATATATTTCTTTCCATTTTTATTATTTAAAAAAAATGTAATTTCATTTAAATTACTTATTATTTATATTTTATAATAATATATATATATGCAATATATATAGTTATTATATATATTATATATATACGTGTGTAATTTAATTATAAGTGTATTTTTATATTAATATAAGTACATATTAATATAAAAATACACTTAGTATGACATTATATATATGATATCTAATTATATATATATATATATATAATTTTTTTTTTTTATTAACATTAACTTTATTTTTATTTTTGATTTTACATATGCAGGGAGACTGCCTGTCAGCACAGACAGTCCCCCTGCAGGCAGACACATGGACACCTATTGTGACCATGTGATCGCTGTATTGAGCGATCACATGGCCACAGTGGTCCTAATTCAGTGTGGGGAGACTGTCTGGGCTGCAGGCAGTCTCCCCACAACGGGAGCAACGCTGATCACCGCCGGGGGAACGACGGCAATCAGGTAAGTAACTAGGACCGTTAGGACGGTTCAGGAGGGTCAGCGGTCGGCAATGGGAAAATGCCGATGACGGTCCCGAACTGACCTTGGTCCTTAAGGGGTTAAAAAACTAAAATGAACTTGGTTTTAGAGAGACTAAAGAGTGTTAAAAATTGGAATGCATTTGAAAAATAGCAGGGGTTTATATAGTATTGGTAACTTGATGATAATGTTAACATTAAATAGACTACGCTGTTGTGGGCATGAATCATGTAAACATTAAACCACATCTATCATGACCACCATGATGCCCGAAAAATTATTACTGTGGTATGCCTAGTGGAAAATTAGTAGACCTTACCAAGTATAGGAGACCTAGGAATGAGCTTTTAGATCCCTTATTTAGTTCTCCCGTTAAATTGTATTTAAAGGGACTCTCTTACTGGCCGCCATTTGCGAGTGACATTACTGTATTTTACCCTAGGTTATGACTATAGCTGAGCTGGAGAGTACTTCCAAAACAGCACTTCTTGCCTCAATTATGTAATGCAGTTGTTAATTAATTGCAGTTCAGTATTTAGTGAAGAACTGCATCTCTTAAAATATTGAGCAAATATAAAATAAGAAATTATGCAAATCAGATTAATTGGTTTACTGTTGAACGGAAGATGTCCTCAGCCTCTTTTAGGTTCCTCTCTAAAAGACTTTCATATTCCTCTCGAACTTCCGACAAAGCTTCGGTTAAAGCCATAGTTGGTGCTACATCCATTGCCACATTGACTCTGACTCCCAGCTGAACGCCAAGACGATTCACCTCCTTCCGCAAAGAAGATATCATTAAAATGTTAAAAATTAGCAGCTTGTAAACTTTGATTCAGTAATTGAGTTCAGTATTTAAAGAGACTCTGGAATTACTTTTAAAATATCTTTAGTTACGCTGTATACTTAAAGGAACACTATAGTGTCAGGAACACAAAAATGTATAGTGGTAAAATCACTCTTTAGATGTCCGCCCCCTGTGCCTCCTTTTGAAATGGTATTTTACTTACCTTTTTTCCAGCACCACGCCACTTCCACCATGGTTGGCCCCACTTCACCCCCACCTTCATGGCTGAGATCATCAAATTTGACAATCTCAGCCATTCCAATGTTTTCGCATAGGAAAGCATTGGGAGGATATTGTGCATGCATGACAAAACGCTGCACCAATCAGTATCTCCTCAATGCATCAATTCATCTCTATGGGGATGCATGGGAAGCGCTGAGACACAGAACGGCAGTGCTGCACACTGCAGCACTGACCCAGGAAGCACCGTTAGTGGCGATCTGAGTGACTGCCACTAAAGGTGTTACTAGGCAGTAATGTAAACATGTATTACTGAAAAGCATATCATGTTAAAGTTTTGTAATTTTTATACCAGTGGACAAGATGATCTATTAGCCTTGTAATGCAAGTTATGTTTATAAAATATTTAACAGTCTTTGTAAAAATAATTTAACCACTACTAAATAAGTACTATACATTTTATATATATTATCTCTTAAAATCACAGCATTCTTCCCATGTAGAATCACATAGGATGACTTGCTTAATGGCCCATTTAGCTGTCCATCAATTTGTCCTGTGTAATGTTCATAAAGATTCAATAGACTTTTTATTGCCTTTTCAAACCAATTAAAAAAAACATTCAAATTAGTGGTAATGTTGTCTGTTCAATAAATAGTTACTCACACAATAATCAATTGCATGATGCAAATGAAGAAACAACTGTCAATGTCAATGAATAGTGGTCAAATATGTAAACGTTCACATTTAATTACCATCACAAACAATAATAAAATGACGTGTATCACCATTTCTGTTAAATTATTTATTTGTTGAAACACACTACATATTCATTTTAACTAGTTTGTGTCTAGAGCTCAACATAGCTTGGTAGTAGCAACAAAATTAACTTTAATGTCAAAGAAATTAGTACCACCAACAGTTATAGATGACCCAGATGTGTCTATATATACAGGTGTGTGTATGTGACAAGGTGAAACTCTTTTTCTTTAGGTAAAATATATATTTTTTTGGTTTATATTTGCTTCTATTCTACTGTTGTAGGCTGTCCACGCTAAGTAGTCTTTTTGATTTCTTGTTTTTTTTTAAATATTAAAGAGTAGTTAGATTTGTCACAGACATTTGTCTTTGCTAAGCTTCTTTTTTTTTAATCTTGAAGATTTTTTATTTTTTCATAAGTTAGGGGTACAAAAAAAAATCAAATACAGTTAGTTAGCATCATATAAGTCATTGCAATACAAATACAAAAGCGTTTGTTGCAAATGTTACACAACAATAGATACTGATTGCATTAACATTACCATAGTACTCCAATCTGATCACTTATAAGTTAAAGGTTCACATTTCATATATAACTAATTAATTCCTTCTAAACATTCTAGGATCACAATATCTTTATAAACAGCGTAGTATATTCTTTAAAATCATTGCTCCTCCTCCCTACTTAAGGTTACCAATCTCCACTTGTCCCAAATATCCCATGCTGCTTTCACAATTTGAATAGATTGATATTCGCTATTAAAGCAGCATTCATAAAGCCATTGCTCATCAAGTTCAGAGTATACCCTCTCAATTTTAGGAATTTTAGTAGTTTTCCACGCTCGTGCGATACATCGTTGACCCGTTAATACTACATGGAGAATTAATTTTTTTAAGGTGTTTGGGTATAATTGTGGGGAGATGCAATAGCAAAAATATTAGGGGATCATATGACAATTGAATTTTTGTAAGATCTTGTAAAAAAGTGTGTACCTCCTCCCAAAAGGATTGAATTTGTGGGCATTTCCACCATATGTGTATTACCGATTCAATATTATATTGACTCCAAAAGTAGGTAGAGTAGAAGGATACATTTTATGGATCCGCTCTGGGACCATGTGCCACCTATAAATCATTTTCTTATTTTGTTCTATAAGTGAGGCTGATTTAATCAATTTATTAGTATTTAAGATATATCAGTCCATTGTTCCCTGGAAATCTCAATGTCCAAATCTTCTACCCATTGTTTCCCAGGTGTGGCCTCTGAAAGAGGTGTATAGTCTAATAATACTTGCTAACATGTGGAGATTGGATTACATAGCGTAGATAATTTTGTATCAATACATAATTTTCCCATATTGTAAATTGATCAATAATTATATCCTGGGATAAAGGCTGTGTTCCTTGTTTATGCATAAAATAATGCAATTGTCTATAGGAGAATTGAGAGGTCAATGGGATATCATAAAGTAATCAAAGAGTCTCTCCCTCCATGGTTTTGCATAAAAGGTAGGAATGCAATATATGAGAGCCTCCGTAGGAGTAGCAATGGAGATTAGTTGTCTACTTAACTTATATCTGTGTATATCCCAAATTTTTATTAGCAAGGCTATCTGATCCAGGACTATTTTTAGAAAGGGCCAAAACTGTTTGGGAAGCCATAAAATGTGTGTGATATCATATGGCGACATCATGTGTTTTGTCCATTTGAACCCACTGAGGAGGGTTGTGATTATCAAAATGTGCCATACCAGCCGCTAAAATAGATGCATGACACCCCCCATACCCTGGTTGGTGCTCTCAAAAGTTTCATAGACACCCGGCGGCTCCCTTTGCACCAAATAAAGTTAATGATATCCTTTTGAATTGATTTAAAATAAGAATGTGGTATAGACAGCGGGAGATTCCGAAAAACGTATTGTAGCCTAGGGAGGATGGACATTTTAATCGCAACTATTCTTTCTGTCCAGGTGAGAAAAAGGGACCTCCATTTTAACAGTATCCACTTACACTCCTTCCATACCCTAACATAACTACATGCAATCAAATCGGTGTATTTCTTAGAAAAGGTTATCCCTAAGTATTTTATATTATCGTGCCTCTATTCAAAGGGGTATCTTTTATGTAGTGTATTTGTAACCCAGTAGTCTATCCCAGAGCTTGCGTTTTGGTAGTATTTAATAAGTAGTAAGAATGGAAACCATATTCTCTTATTACCTGTACAAGTATCAGAAGTGTATTTATAGGGTTGTTAATATAAAGTAAGACATCATCCGCAAATGCGCTGAGCTTATATTCTATACTGTTGACTTGAATACCTGTATACCGGAGTTATTTCGGATGATTCGCAAGAGGGGTTCTAATGCGAGCACATACAATAGCGGAGACAACGGACACCTCTGCCTCTTTCCATTGCTTAACTTAAATGGGGGGGACATAAAGCCTGCCTCTAATACTTGGGCCATGGGTTATGCATATAAAGCAAAAATCTGTTTGATTAGTTGCTGTGGGAACCCATAGGCACCCAATGTCTGTTGGAGGAAGGGCCAGCTGAGCTTTTTCAGCATCTAATGCTAACAGAAGTCCACCTCCTCTGGCCCTTCTCAGATAGTCCAAAATTAGTGCTAGTTTTCTAGTGTTATCCATCCCCTGTCTCCCCTGTACAAACCCTGTCTGATCATCTCCAATTAAAGATGGTAATACACTTTTAATCCTATTTGTCAGGATTTTTGCAGAATTTTTTTTCGCATCTGTATTTAAGAGCGTTATGGTTACTATAGTAGCGTGGAGCATCTCCATCGGGAGCTTACCCGTAACTGCTGCCTTGTGAAAAACTTTTAATAAATGCGGACCAAGGTCTTTTGCATATTTTTTAATAATAGGCATTCGTCAACCCATCTACTCCTGGTGATTTCCCTTGTGGTAGTTTATCAATTGTGTCTAGCACCTCCTTAAGCTCGATAGGCTTAAGCAGTATATCTAATTGAATATCATTAATCTGAGGTAAATCGGCCTAGGTTAAGAATGAAGTTATATCTTGTGTACTCACATTATGGATACTACTATCTTCTTTAAGATTGTATAATTTGGCGTAGAAATTTGCAAATTCTTGACAAATTTCTATAGGAGTAGTTCTCTTTAGGCCATCACTTCCTATCAAGTAAGGGATTTTAAGATTGGAGTACTTGTTACGAAGCCTAGAAGCTAAATGTTTATTAGCCTTCCCACCTCTATGGTACTCTTTAGCTCTTAATTTATAGAGCATCCGCTTAGCTCCTTCCGCATTAAGCACCTTCAATCGGGTATGGAGTGTTGTAAGCTGTTCTGCTAGTTCGAGGGTTGAGCTTTATTTTGTCTAGAAATTATTGCGATTTGTCTATGACAATCACGTAAACCCAGTCCGTTTTGTTTTTTGAGAAAAGAGGCGCGTCTCACAAACAAACCTCTTACAACCACTTTATGTGCTGACTTTTCCTAAGCTTCTACTGGTTGTCTTCTCTACCATAAAAGGAGCCAGGTTACCTTTAAATATATTATTTATTAAAATGCACACCAATATTATTTGCCTATTCAAAGCTTTCAACATACCTCCTCATGCTCGCTGTTTAAATGTGCAATTAATTGTAAGAGATTCTCGATATCCGCATCCAGGGTTTGACTTTCCATCTGTACTGCCTCGACAATTCTCTGCATACGATAGATATCTTCCTCTGCCGTGGTCTTCATTCTAGACTCTTCATCATATCTTTAGGAAACACAGAGATTTTGTGTATCAACAATCAACTTACATAATGCTGAGCAAAATTACTGAAAACAAAACAAAACAAAAAAAACATTATATTTAGTGAATTGGTCAGCTTTTTTTCCATTTTGTAAGTAGGTTCTCAGGTAACCAAAACTCATGGTGTAGTGAAAACATGAAGCAATATGGCTAACAAAAACAAACGATATTGACATGCTCTGTACTACATGTGTATTGGCAAGACAGGAAGACTGAGTAATTCTTGGTAATTGGTCATTCATGACTTCCAAAGTACGTACAATTTCCCCAGAGTTTATAGAATGAAAGAAATCTAGTAGTAGATACAAATAATTCATATCAACCAACCTATACAATTTCCTTTATTTTGTTAATGTAATTAGTGTCTGCATATTGACTTGCCCGTTGTGGTGCATTTACTTAGAAACTGAATTATCTAAACCAAAATACCATTGCTACAATGAATTGGTATTATTACTGTGAAATGTAATCTCTGTTTTAGCTGTTCCTCCAGTAGAGGCTGGGTTGTAGGCACCAGGGGTCCCTTATTCATGTTAAACTGTTCATGAAAGGATTGGTGTTTTCCACTTTCATTTTGTTTCAGCCTGGACCTGCAGCAGTGTTTCAAGTCTCTGCTCTTTCTTGCAGGAAATCAAGGACATCTATACACAAGAAGGGTGAGGGTCGCCTTTACGGACCCCAAGAGCGCAGATATTGAGCTATTTCATATTAGCTCCTAAAATTGTGAGTGGGAAATATTCCCTTCCTAATTCTCTATAACGGACTTTATTATACAGTTTGCACTATGTTTGGTTTGTCTGTTTTTTATGTCTTGTAGAATTTATACTCTTATGTGAATATAAAGACATAAGGAATATTCAAGGTAGTATTGATATATACCTAGTTTTTATCACTACCCTTCTATTTAAATATAGCGCTACACCACAAGAGTTTTTTGGACTCCAGACACCATACTCACTTAAATGAGATGAAGTGATAGTGTTTAGAATGTCCATTTAAATTATGAAAATTATTTCTCAATCTACAACAACCAACAGCTTAAATAAACTCAAATAAGTAATACATCTCGCAAAATATGAAAACCATTTTTTTATGTTTTATTTTTTGTTTTCTATATCTTATATTAAAATGAACTATTGTACTGTAAAACACATCATCCATATAATTCAGAAAGTATATACATCTGTTAACACATTTTTAACATTTACACAAGTTTCTGTACAACTATACGGACACTTGTCTTGGAACCGGTAAGTTGTCAAAATGTTTTTAAATGGCTTGACTACTTATTCTGGGAGGACAGAATTTCAAACTTACTTATTTCTGAAGTTTTCTGCAGCCAAAGATGCACTTTGTATCTGCTGAACTAAATTGGCATTGTCAGTCTTGACAGATGATATCTATTAAACACACACAAATTGAAATGAGCATATACCCTATAACCATTTACATAAACAAACTCACACAGATAGAAAGAATATTGTAGTTTGTGTTACCTTAGTCTGGATTTTACCGACAATATTGTAGAACTCACTGTAATCCGGATAAGAATCAGCTTGACTTTTCTGATACTCGTCTCGGATAGTCTTCTCTAACTGGGCATTGTGCTCTTTCAATGAGTCTACTTCCGTCATGTATGATGCCAACCTATTGTTCAGAACTCGCATGGTCTCCTTTCCATTCAAGTGCATGGTTTCTTTCCCATTGAGCTGTATGGCTTCATTCCCATTGAATCTAATTGTATCTTCCTTCAGTCGATCATTATGCCATCCATTCCATCTTGTATTGTTAAAATGGGAATGCTTTGGACGCACATGTTCCTCAGGATCATGACTGGACATAAACTGATTAGAAGAGAAGTCTAGTCCACCGTGGGCATTAAAATGAGGCTTAGAGTTTATTCTGTGATAGACTCCATTGAAGCTCCTAAACTGAGGTGAAGAATTATGTTGGTAAGGTTTCGGATAATACACACCGGTATAATAGTGCCTGTTGACTGGTTCAAAAGGAGAACATTCCACATCGTTTCTCATGGTTCCTGATCAGATGTTGATGTTTAGACACTGGAAACCCAAACTTGTTTGTTTACTAAGTATCCTTTGAATCGCTTTTAATAGAAAAGGCTGGATGAGGTCACTTTTATATGGACTGCATGTTTTGCTAAGCCCTAAATTTCTAACTGGTTATTGAACTGTTGTCATCATGATTAGTTAATTGAATTAAAGAGCAAGCAGTCAGAAAGACAGGAAGACCTACTATTGTATGTTTACAATTATTTTGTTGTTGTTGTCGGCATTTTGTTTTAAGAGCAATGAGCAAAAAAAAAAAAAATCTTTGTGAAATCATCGATGACATCTGATCAGTACAGAAACTGGGATTTTTCATAGAGTGCAACACTTAGTGGGACATGGGTTTTGAAAAAAGATACATGCTGTTAAAACAAATTATTTATGTAAGTGTATAATATATCTTAAGTATATTTACTTTTTCAGTAATATGTAGCTTGTGGTTTCCAATCAGTTTTAACTAATAAGGGAGCTGTGAATTTATAGCAATTTTCTAAATTTAATCAGTTAGCACTTTTGTGTTGAATTTTGCAAGAAACTTGCCATGTCACAATAAATCACTGTTTAATGAGTAGAACCTCAAATATTTTATTTATTTTTTGTCAATCTATTTTTATTGAGTTTGCATTGTAGTTGCCAAAAATATACAAGTGACACATTACTCAGATATCATCATAAATCTACAAATTATACGAACATAGTGTAACAGACAAAAGTCGATATACATAAACTGCACGGCACACCATTTTTAAACCAATAATGAAACTATATGATACTATAGTGCCAGGAGTACAAAGCTATTTTCCTGGCACTATAGCTCCCTCTGACTCCCCTGTTCCTCCCCTGCGACCCCACTATCCCCCACTTCGGTAAATTGGGTGACTTGAAAACTTTAGCAAAATGGTAAAGTTGGAAAAAGTATCTAGTTGCTCTTTTTTAATTAGTTTTGGCTTAGTTATTGCTTTGCAGTATGCAAATTGTCACATTACCCAGTTCATGTAATGGGCCCATATATATCACCTTTGTTACCATAGCAATGTAAAACAAATAATCTTGTTGGGCTTAATCAAAATTCTTGTGGTATTACTCTCCCTCAGCCTTCCCCTTGACCAGTGTATAGTCGCCATATGGGCAGTCGGACTCCAGGACAACCCTCCCACATACCTAACCCAATAACTCACTGACACAAAGGTATATGGGAAAATTTGTCCACAGCTTTATTTAAACAATCTTGAATAATAATAATTTATTAATTTCCATATTAATAACCATAGCAATAATAATTTAACAATAAACATGGGTCATTGCCCCCATACTCCGCCCTCGTAACCGAATCCTTCTGTTAATATAACAGGCAATGACCCCCATATAAATAACACATATACATATATATATAACATACGTATCAACATATTCCAACATACCAACTTAAAGTGCCAAACATAAATTAACCATGGCAGGGGTATACCCGGATACCCCTGCCCCACCAGATTCTGAGCCACCGACAGGACTCGGAACCTACCAACCACCAATGACCACAGTTTTACGTCTCCATGACGTTCATCCTAGGGAGCCTATTTCTTCTCCTTCAGCTCCCTATCCCGCCACAAGCTCAGACCTTGACTCCTTAAGCTGTCTGAGCTCCGCCACCCCGAAGAAAAAGAGCCTTAGTTATGCCATCCTGCCAGCCCAGGGTCAACAGATCCCAACCAACTGCCGAGAGATGGACTCCATCCGAGCGGTAGTACCCTGGCAAACCACCTTCCAACTCGCTGTGTCGAACTACCACACCCCCTAGCTTCCGCACGAAGCTTGCAATCAAGCTATTCACTTTCTTCCTACACCTGTCCATAGCCTCCGGGTCCCTAGCATGCCTCCACCGCTTCCTAGGGATAATCTCCGACCAGACCAACATCACCCCCGGAAGTAGGTCCCTTAAACTGTTAAGGTCCTGCTTCATCCACTTCACCAGCCGCCGCTGCGGAGTGAGGCCCAAGTCGTTGCCCCCCGCATGGAGCACCAGTAGGTCCGGCCGTTGCCCGCCTGCTACCATCCGGAACACCCTTCCGCAGACCTCCCCCCAACAAAAACCCCTGTACCCAAACCATTGCACTGCCAACTGGTCCCGATGAAAGCCCAGCTGGTGGCCCTGAGCTCGAGCTGCAGCCCTCCTTTCGGCCCAGAAGACAAATGAATGGCCCACGATCCATGCGACACGGCCTGGGGGAGAGAAGAAAACAGATCATAACAGCCCCTTATACACCCAGCCCCCGGGATCCCCAAAGGCCCTCCACCATACTACTCCAATAAACCCAAGCGCACATATGAACGGAACCGTACCGACTCCCATCTCCCAATCCGTTTCACTATGTCATCCCCCAGACCCAACCGAGCTGCCTCCGTAGCCGCCCCAATGCGAAAGGAGTGTGTACCAAAAGTATCCACCCTCAGTCCCAGCTTTCCCAGGCCAGACCGAAAAACCTTGGTGAACTGGAACCGGGAGAGGGAAGACCCGTCCGCGTGTACCAGCAGCGATCCTCCAACCCCCGGCCTCCGTGCCATGTACCCCGCCACTGCGGCCACTGGGCACAAAGCGGAGCCCGGCAGGGCCCGCAGCGTCACATCTCGGCCCTTGCCTAACATGTCCGTCTTGGACTTTGCCAGGTGTACAACCACCTTCCCTTCCAGCACTCGGACCCCCGACACCTGTACCCCCCCTGCCGCAGTCCTCGTGGCACTGACCAACTCCCCCACCCGAAAGGCTCCAAAGAAGGCCAACAGAAACGCCGCCTGGAACAACGATGCTTCGAACCTGTCGAAACATATAGTAGGCAATAAACCGACCAGGTCACTCAACACTCGCACCGATACTGGGCGCCGAGTGTCAGGCCACCTGCGGCCCCGCCGGTACCCCTTCAGTGCCTGCCTTATGACAAAGGCCTTAGTAAGGTCCTCTTCCCCATGTAGCTTGAACCAGAAAGCCATCGCCGCCATGGACCTGTCAACCACCGCCGGGGATGCCCCCTTCGCCAGAAATTGACAGGTGTACCAGAGGAACGCATCCTTGAGCGATTCCCCCGCCGGCAGGCGGTCCAACCCTTCCCATGACCTTTCCCAGGAGTCCCAGACCTTACTGTAAGCGGCCCATGTGGCCGGCGCCAGCGAAGCCTTCACCAGTCCCCCAAGCAGGTCGCCCCGAGAAGCCAAATCTCGTCTGGGCAAGCCTGCCCCACTTCTTGCGCTTCCGGCGCCACCGTCCGGAATCGTGACCACTGAAAATGAGACAGGGCATCAGCCACATCATACATGAACCCAGGCACATGGCGTGCACGAAAAACAACATTTAGCGACATGCACAACAGAACAAAATGACGTAGCAACCTGACCACGGGTTTCGATGCTGCCGATTGGTTATTCACAGCGTGCACCACGGCCATATTGTCCGAGAAAAAGACCACCTTCCGGTCCCGCAGCCTATCCCCCCACAGGGCCAACGCGACGACTAGCGGGAACAGCTCCAAGAAAGCCAAGTTCCGCATGAGGGGGCTCGTTCGCCACTCCCCCGGCCATCGCTCCGCACACCAACATCCCCCAAAATAAGCCCCGAAGCCCACACTACCAGACGCGTCAGTGAACAGCTCCAGTTCCGCAGCCGACACGCCCTCCTGTCTAAAAATTACCGTCCCATTGAACTCCCGCAAAAAGGTCTCCCATACGGCCAAGTCGGCCCTCATGGCCGACGACACCCGAATGAAGTGACGCGGGGATCGCACCCCCGCCGTCGCTGCCGACAGACTCCGGCTGAACACCCTACCCATTGGGATCACCCGGCACGCAAAATTCAGCATCCCGATCAACGACTGCAGCTGCCGCAGTGTAACCTTACGGGCTTGAGCCGCTGCTGTCACCTCCCCCCTCAGCCGCCGAGACTTTTCCAACGGCAGCCGACACTCCCCTTGCAACGTATCTATCTCCAGCCCCAGAAAACTAAGGCACGGAGCCGGCCCTTCTGTCTTGTCCGCCGCCAGAGGGACCCCGAAATGGCCAGCCACCCACTCGACCGTTCTCAGCAAGTGTAGGCAGGTGGGGGAGCCCGCCGGTCCCACGCAGAGAAAATCGTCCAGGTAGTGTACCACAGCCCCACTCCCCGCCTCGACCCTGACCACCCATTCAAGAAAGGTACTAAACTTCTCAAAGTAGGAGCAGGAGATAGCACAACCCATTGGAAGGCACAAATCCACAAAGTACTCCCCGTCGAAGAAACACCCCAGCAAGTGATGACACGCTGGGTAGACCGGAAGCAGCCGAAACGCCGCTTCAATATCCACCTTAGCCAACAGTGCCCCGCGCCCAGCCCTCCTTACCAGCTCGACCGCCCTGTCGAATGATGCGTAGGAGACCGAGCACAAGTCCTTGTCAATATCATCATTCACCGACTCTCCTTCCGGGTAGGAGAGGTGGTGAATGAGCCTGAACTTCCCCGGTTCCTTCTTGGGAACCACCCCGAGTGGGGAAACCCTCAGAACCTCCATTGGAGGAGCCGGGAACGGTCCTGCCATCCTCCCCAATTTGACTTCCTTGCCCAGTTTTTCCCGCACCACACCCGGGAACTCCGCCACCGATTTAAGGTTGCGCCGAACCCCTGTCCCCCCCCGGTTCCGGAAAGGGATAAAGAACCCCTGACCAAACCCCGCCCGGAGCGCCACGGCATCTGCCTTATTACCGTAGCGGCTTAGCCACGGCTCCATCGCGTCTAGCCTCACCGGGGTTAGGCCCCGGGGCAAGCGAAACTCCCCCTCCCCCCCAGCCACGGTAGGGACCCCGGTGTGCCCTGACTTCCCTTTCTTGAAGCACCGGTGGAGCCCATGAGCGCCTCCGCAGCCCGAACACTCGTGCTTAAAGTGACAGGCGTTTCCCCATTTGCACTGGCCCTCGTTAAAGAGCCAGCAGAAGCCCTCTTGCATGGCGGCCGACGAGGCGGACTGCCCCTTTGCGCCGGCCGTGGGCTGAAAGGGCTGCGCTTTCTGCGCCATCATCAGCTTCATCCAGAGAGGCAGGTCCATTTGATCCCACCGCATACCCGGATTAGCCGCCAAACGCTGCCGGAATTGCTCGTCGTACCGCCACCATGCCAGTCCGCCATAGGTGCGGTACGCCTCCCAAATGCCATCCAAATAACAAAACAGGGAGGAGCACAGGCCCGGCGATTTCTCGCCCAGAACACTGGGCAACACGCAAAACGCCCTCAGCCAGTTATCGAAAGACTTAGGAATCTTACGATACCGCTTCTTCTTCTCTTCCTCCTCCTTCTTCTCGTCTTTTTTATCGTCCTCCTTGAGATCGATAAAATCCTCCAAAGGGAGAAGAGAAAAGATCTCGCAGAAGTCACCCTTCCAGATTTTTTCCTTCACCTCCTGTTTGAGGTGGACCCCCAGCGGACCCGCAAACGACACATACGCGTGTTGCCTGGCCGCATCAGGAACCACCCCCCCAGTCAACTCAGGCCGCTTGCTCGTCGCCTCCGCCCCGGTAACCGTCACCGCAGTGTCCCCACCCGAACTCTGCTCTGCGGAGGGAATCTCACTCGGGCCCGCCACCCCGGCCCCCTGAGCCCAGACCTGACCCACACCGCCCCTTGTGGCACCCCCCGCTCCCAGTGAGTGGAGAAGTGCTTGAAGTGTATGAACCAGTGCACTGGAGTGCAGAGAAGCAGAGGACTCACCGGCCAAGCCCCTCGACCCCGAAGCTCCTGGGGCTGCGTTGTGTACTGTCCCCTGACCAGGATGAGCGACATCCGTTAACGATCCTCCAACCGGGGAGCCAACCCGGTGCCCGGCCACATCAGATGCGGAGCGGCTCCGAGATCTGTAACGAGTCCTGGGCAGAGCATACTGGTCATGAGCAGCCCCCCCGTCCCGACCTTGAGAGCGCCCGCTGGACACCAGAGCCTCCCGTCGCGCAACCACTCCTTTTCGCCCACCCAAGGCCCGATCGGCCCTGCCTCTGGGACTACGACTCCTCCCGTTCCTACCAGAGGCCCGCCCCCGTGTAACCAGCCTGGGGGCCATGACACTCTCCCCCCCTGAACTACTAGATGAGGACCTAGCGCGCCGAGCCCTTCCCTTAACCCCCCCGAACCCCCGGGCCCTAACCGGTGACGGGCTGCTATCACCAGACCCCGACCCTGTGCCCCCCCAGTACTACGCCCACCTAGCTGCTCACCAGCGCGGGGGAATCCCCACCCCCCACCCCGGCGGGCCCCCCGGCTAGAAGAACCCCCTCCCCTCGGTACCTCTAGACCGTCCCCAGACCCCGCACCCCTAACCTGCCCTGAACGCCCTGCGCACCTAGACCTCCTGCCCCCACCCGATGGCAAACCTCCCCCCGCCGTACCCCCTGGCCCATCCACCCTCCCGGCTACAGGCCCTTGCTCCACACTCACTACCCTGGAACTACACAGCGCACCCTCCCCCCTAGGCCTCTCTGCCCCCGATCTAGAAGGAACCTGACCCCTATCCATGTCCCCCCCAGGTCTCTGAACCCTGTGCCCAGTCCTCCTGCGCTGATTCGCGCCAAGGGGGTCCCGTTCCAGGGGCGGTCCGCGAGCTCCTCCCGCACCGGCCCCGCCGGTGCCCGTCATGGGTGTAGGAGACGCCCTCCCGGGCTGCAATCCCGCGTCACCTCCGGTTCCAGGGGGCCGCCCGATGTCTTCCGCGGCCCCCGCTCCAGGCGCAGCCCTCCCCGAACTGGGAGCCGCACCGTCCGACTCCCGAGTAGCCTCCAGCCAGCTACCGCTTCTCCGACGTCCATGTGGCTACCGGGTCCTTTGCGGCCTGGTCCTGCCGCCGCCCAGCCACTGGAACCGTCTCCACCGGACTCCGCGCCTGGGCTCAGCCGTCTCGGCGGCCTCCGAGCCCGCACAGGCCGACCTCCGCCGCCCTCAGGATCTGCAGCACCCGCCAGGGCCGGTCCAAGTTGCGCCCGCAGCCAGTCCACGCCACGTCCTCGAGCCGCCAACCGGATCCGCTCCAACAGCTCCTCCATGTTATCCCTCGACCCTGTAGAAGGAGAGAAAAACAAAGACCCCACCAAACCAAATCTGTGGACAAAGGAGTGCACACAAACTCAGCAAGGTAGTAATTAAAAGTGAAGGATTTAAAATGGCTGCCTATTTAAATAGCCAAGCCTACTTACCCATAACTCCATACTTCCTTCCCTCCTCCTATGCCCGCCTCCTAACCCCTGTCAAGGCCTTTTTTCGCTTAGCTGCGCTTTGGCTACATGGGGCTACATTCTAAAAAAAATTTTAAATTCTTTATTTTTTAAAGTGCAAGTTTAAACATATAAGCAGGCAGTGCCACAACAACAGCTGCATGCACAGCAGGTGTGGACAGAATACCTGTAGCATGTAGCATGTATTAGCACAATTTTACATTTTTATATTGAATAGTAAAGTGTGTACGAACAGCTGGAATTGGACTCGCAATCCCTGTGTGAGATAGTGTAGAGCGTAGTTGATTATTAAAGGGTGTCGCGGGTCTTGTACCTCTTGCATTTCGTAAGTTTGAACGTGCGGGCCTGTAGCTTGGCAAGAGGGGGGGGATACTCACTCTGCTTTGTGTCAGCGTTGTTACAAGAGAGGCGAGTGAGTGGGTGGAGGGGGGATTAAAGGGAGAGTACTCCTTATGCCATCGAGCGTATGAGGGTAAAGGAGATAATCTTTTTGAGTGGACACTATGAGTGGATTAGGTTTGGATTGGTGCGGTGTGGTTGCGTTACTGCCTGAAAAAATATTAATAAAGTGTTCTAAGTAGCATAAAACAGTTCAAGGAATGTTCTAACAGTATAAAAATCAAACAAAAATAGGGTAGTGTCACTGCTTGCAGTTTGTGGCAGTTCAGGATACAGCGGTAGTGGCTGGGTCGCCCCGCAGAGTGGCAGGAACAAACAGGCGGACTCTCGAGGGGTCCCAGGTTCGTGGCTGGGTATCCAGGGCTGATGTCTGCGGTCCCTCTGTGGTTGCTGGTATCTCGAGTTTCTGTAGGATGCCGGGTATTTCTGTATCCTCGAACACTTTCAGTGTCCCAGAATCTTGGGGAATCAGAAGACTCTTTGGTGTTCCCCCAAAAGCCACCTTGCTTTTTGTGAGTGCTGCGGTCAGGAGTCTCAGGGTCCTTCTCCAGTCTAGGATTGCCCTGGAAAGATCCGTGTAGAACATCAGCTGGTGATCTTCAAATGTGTAGGGGGACTTGTTATGGGTGGCAGCCATCAACGCCTGTTTGTCAGGACCGGCTTGGAATCGTATTATAACGTCCCTGTGTACTCCTGTAGCTGTTGCTGGAGGAACTGGGAGCCTGTTGCAGCTGTCCAGCATCATCTGTTTGGCTTGTTTGGCAGGGAACAACTGGGCCAGGAGTCTCCGGATCAGGTGAGTTATTTCGGCCGTGGTAACTGTGTCTGGAAGGCCGCGGACCTTTATGTTCTTCCACCGCCTCCGGTCCTCCATTGTGGCCATGCAGTGTTGTGCCTTTGCTTGTTCTGACCTTAACACGGTGAGTTCCCATTCTAATATTGTGAGCCTCGTCTCGTAGCCTGCTGTGGTCACCTCTGCATTGTGTAGACAGGCCGAGACTCCATTGATTTTGTCTCTGAATGCGGAGATATCGGTGGCAATATTACGGCGTAGTTCGTCCAAGAGGGCCTTTAGGGCTGTTTCCGTCACTGGGGCCCCAGAGTTTGAGTTAGTCGGTGTGCCAACCTGCTTGCTTCTCGCCAGTGTCTCCAGCTCTCTCAGGTCGTTGAGGGATGTTTCACTTGAGGAGCACGACGGCCCATCTGAGGCCGGTGCCATGACAGGTCTCGTGGAGCTTTGGGGCCACCAGAGGAGATCGCCGATGTCGGTATAGCCGGAGCTCCTGCAGGATGCGTCCGTTCAGTTAGGTAGCTGACTCCGCCCCCCCCTTTCTAAATTTGAACTGTTCCCTAACCCGTGTACAGGGATATGTGATGGTTAATGTATGACCCAAATCCTAGAATTTCTCCCAAGAAATCATTTGCCACAAATTTCCTCTCTGAAGGTTAAAACTCTACTTTGTTTTGTAAATTATATATTATTGGTTTCTAACAAGAAAAATAAAAGAAACACAAGAGGACATGCATGTATCCACATTCAATCATATGTCTGGTCACACACGGTCTTATGTTTAGTTTTGCATAGGACCATCAGTAGTCTTCAAACAATGTCAGCATGATATAACACTATAATCAGCAGCATTCCTTATGAACTGTATTCTAGAGTCCCATATCCAGTGGTAGGTTCAACAAACAATGTCATAAAGCTATCTCCTCAAGTCTCCTCAAGTCTCCTATCACTAACACTATCCTATGTCATGGGACCATCTCCAATGTCCCCCGGCTGAAGCGCCCGTCAAGTGAAAACTCTACCTGTTACTTTAACTTTTTATCTTGTAAATTAGCTAGTTTGAACACTCCCATCAACACAAAGTAATTTTTAACATATTAACCCTCTTCAAACCACAGCCTGTTTGGCAGATCAATCACTAGAAGCAGAGTAACACTTTCTCCTTAAAGGCAGAATAGATCTCCAACTGAATTTCAGCTTACTGGAGATCAAAATTTAGAGGGATCTCCACCTTTAAAATCTTTACCAACCAAAAATGAATGGTTATAATGGTTGGAAACATTACCACCAGGAGTTGGAGACTGACAGGAAGGAACAATCAAATTACTTATAATGCATAATTGCGAAAAATGCCTTGGATTACCTCTGATTGTAAGCCTCAATGAATGATTTTACCGTTTCTTTGAATTACACTGCACTGCCAAATAATGGGACATGTCATAGTATCAGATTTGGTATAATTTTTATAATTTTTTTTAAATTATTTTTTATTTTTAGTAATGCATTTTGATACAATTGAATATTGCACTATCCTGCATGGTGTGTACGTTATAGTTTTACACTGTTAGTCACCAATTTTGATTTCTGTCTTTTGGGGATATTGCTGCATTCATTTTTTATTTATTTTTTTACTCCTAAAGTATTGCTACAATACATATTGAAGATTTTATATTTGTTAATTATTTTTCTTTCTTTGCACAACTTGGATTACTTACATTTTTATGTGCATTACCGTGTTTCTCCGAAAATAAGACCGGGTCTTATATTAATTTTAGTCACAAAAAACACACTAGGGCTTATTTTCAGGGTAGGGCTTATTTATTTACGGTACCGGTATGTACATTGAACCCCCCCTTTAATTAATCCACCCCCCCCTTTAATAAATCCACCCCCCTCTAATTAATCCACCCCCTCTAATTAATCCAGCCCACCCTTTAATTAATTCACCCCCTCTAATTAATCCAGTCCACCCTTTAATTAATTCACCACCCCTTTAATTAATTCACCCCCTCTAATTAATCCAGTCCACCCTTTAATTAATTCACCCCCTTTAATTAATTCACCCCCTCTAATTAATCCAGCCCACCCTTTAATTAATTTACCACCCCTTTAATTAATTCACCCCCTCTAATTAATCCAGCCCACCCTTTAATTAATTCACCCCCTCTAATTAATCCAGTCCACCCTTTAATTAATTCACCCCCCTTTAATTAATTCACCCCCCTCTAATTAATCCAGCCCACCCTTTAATTAATTCACCACCCCTTTAATTAATTCACCCCCCTCTAATTAATCCAGTCCACCCTTTAATTAATTCACCACCCCTTTAATTAATTCACCCCCTCTAATTAATCCAGTCCACCCTTTAATTAATTCACCCCCCTTTAATTAATTCACCCCCCTCTAATTAATCCAGCCCACCCTTTAATTAATTCACCACCCCTTTAATTAATTCACCCCCTTTAATTAATTCACCCCCCTCTAATTAATCCAGCCCACCCTTTAATTAATTCACCACCCCTTTAATTAATTCACCCCCTCTAATTAAACCAGTCCACCCTTTAATTAATTCACCACCCCTTTAATTCACCCCCTCTAATTAATCCAGCCCACCCTTTAATTAATTCACCCCCCCTTTAATTAATGCACCCCCTCCCACCCCCTTTAATTAATTCAATTAATCCCAGACATAAAATATCTAGCGGTACTCACATTTCAAAGATTCCTTGCCGAGTCCGACCACTGGGAGCCTCACCCCTCGGAAATGGATCCTTCCGCTGAAGATCCGTGAAGGCAGACTGACGGCGCTGCAAAATGTCGTCATCACGTTGCGCGACGCTCCTCCTACAGCAGAAGAAGGAAGTCTCGCCGCAAAGGTACAATGCCTAGGTCTTATTTTCGGGGTAGGGCTTATATTGCAGCCCACCCCGAAAATCCGACTAGGGCTTATTTTCGGGGTAGGGTTTATTTTCGGGGAAACACGGTATTAGTAAGTTATGGTGCCAGCTAGGATCTTGAACATACATGGTTTCATTTGTCAAACATATCAGATGTACAAAATAAGGTTTTAAAATCTACTTTAAACCCCTGTTACTCTTTCTAACAGTAAGCAAAAATAGAGTGCTACATTGGAGTATCCTGGAAGCACTCAAAAGTCCAAAGACTGCAGAGCAGAATTAACGATAAGGCAAGATTAGGCAGCTGCCTGGGGTCCAATGGTTATACAGGGGCCTCAAAACCATGACTTTGTCTGACCTCATTCACCATCCCTATGCGAAGAAGAGAGGGGGTCTGAAAATTGGTAACCTGCGGGATTATAAACCGTCTCTGAAAGATTACCACTTTATGTCTGATGATTGGTGCTTCATGTGGACAGATAAATAGGGCAGTCTTCAGATTTACAAGCGCTGTCCCTAGTATTATCACCACTTCAATAAGCTGAATGGCTATGGTACATAGACAGTCCCTTAAACACCTTACTAAAATTATGGTTGAAAGATAACTGGCAGACTTTAATACAATACTGAGTGAGTATATTTTTGTTTGATTTTTCTTCTGTGTCTTTCTCTTTTTGTTTTGAAATTACATTAAATAATGTAGATGGATTTATTATGTTTATATATTGTATCAAATATTACCAACTCTCTTTTTGGCAAATGTTTGGTGTTTCACTTCAAACTACGAAAATCTAAAGCATCGTGTGAAGCCTAGACTCACCATAATGTATTCTTCTTTCTAAGACTTTCAGTGGGCTGAAAATATAAGATATCTAGGTGTAATGATCACTAAGGAACTACCTAATGAAATTTAGGCTATGTTCTTTCTGAAGGAATAACATCTTCTTGATATTAGAAGTGTCATAAAGCATTGTTCACAGACCATTCTAAAAATAATTACAGCTAAACGCCAAATGTCACAGGCCTTGGTGTTATAAGGTAAGATCTTTTTCACTAAGATTAATCTGTCCAAGGTTATAGTAGTAGGATAAACATCTTGCTAAGCAAGTCTGGTGAATCGATGTTAAGATCCCGATTTAATAGAATGCTCACACATCAGTTTCATGTATGCACAAGTGGTATTGCAGGCCCAAGGGAGAGAGCGCAGCTTAGCGGACAAGGGCGCATGTATGAGTGTGGGAATGAATGAGCAGTGATTGGTTGTCATGTTTGTGTGGCAGGGTTGTATGTGAGGATTGGGTGGTGACTAACTAAGCTAATCTCAGTGCCACTTGGGATCAGGGCCAGCAACAGTTTCCTGCCCACCCTCTCTTCTTTTAGATCCTGGTTTGTCATCACAGCTGGTGGTGGGCATGTCCTTACCAAACAGGTTGGGAGATGGTTTACAGGTAGACTAATAATGTGGATAATGGCAGGGTCTCAACCTCCCCTGTCTCTTATGGTAAACAGCAAGGGTACCAAGTTGGACGTGTCCCCACTGAGCTAAAAGCCGGCTGGTGGAGAGCATTAAAGGTAAAAGGTAATTTTGTTATGATGGGGTGTGAGGGGAGAGCCTTTCGGGGTGTGAGTTAGCTTGGCCAGGACTTTGATTAAAGTTGAATATACTGTATGACATTATGTGGTATGTTCTTTATATGTTCATTTATTAAATGGTTAGTTGTGTTCGGGGCATTCTCATATGATATAGAATAAGATGGGTTGTAGAGATGTAGCTTTAGGAATAATCGGTTGAGGTGTGCCGAAACCGACGTATGCTGTAAGCCGGTAAAAAGTGGGCAAAAAGAGACATATTAATGCAAAACATTATACAGGATCATAGTGCATTTGTTAACCATCAGTTAGACATTTTAATGAAAGCTTCCTAATTCCTGAATCGGCTGTGGTATGTAAATCGCATAAGCCTATGATTCCAAACGGCCCCGTGCCTTAACGTGTGCGGGTATGTCTTGGCTATAGGCTGTGTAAGCTGCTCCTATCCTAAAGTAGTCGCTAGGGTTTAGTTCGAGCCCGGTGAATGAGTAGGTGGACATAGTGCATGAACTGTGGTAAGGACAGTATCGTACAGCAACAGTAATGGTTCAGTGGTGTGTATGGTGGCGTGCCCAAGAACGTAATCAGTACCTTAACTGGGCACCCAGCATTGCTTGTAAGGTAGTAGGTTATATGCACTGGCTCGGCCCTCTGACTCATCTTAGTTTTAGGAAGGGACCGGACATAGTGGTCTGTGTGTTTTAGAAGATAAGAGGTCAACAGGCACTCTTGTTTATGATGTTGGCCGCTGATAGTGAGTTATTGTTTTGGCCTGAGAAAGCCGTTAAAGGCTAGATAGGTAGCAGTTTTGATAACTGCATTGGTGTGTGGCTTGGAAGTGCATGGTCGAGTGGTTCTGACATGGTTTGAAAATTGTATGTCTATGGCCAGTATTTAGTGTTAGCGGGAACGTCCGCTTGGCCATGTCTCTAAGTAAGGTGTGGATGGGGTAGGAGGATAGGAACCCTTGTTGTTTGGGAAAGAGAAATACGTATAGTGTTGAATGCCCGTGAGATAAAGTTTAACCGTGTTGTGCAAGAATTATTAATTTAAGGTGGCAAAAATAGGCGAAGGCCATACGTGGTGAAACCTCAAACCAGCTAAGTGATAGTCCGACATGAAACATATTGTATAAGTGGAAAACCCTGTAGCAAGCGTGTTGAGTGCTGGTGGACAAGGCCAGTTTAGTCATAGCCCGGCTATGTTGGCAAGGTTCATGTAATCCATGACCTTGACCATAAATGACCCCCCTGCCATGGCGGCTGCACGGCAGCTGCCACAATAGTTTGCCATTACGTGTGGTTAAGAAAGTCCACCATATGTGTAGGTCTGCCATGGCTTGGTTGTCTAGGGACAGCCCCTGATCATCATTCGGGAGGGAGGAAAAAGCAGAGTGGTCTGAGATGAAAGCGCGGCCTGCGGTATGATGCGCATGGCAGAATTTAAGGAACCTGGTAGGGATTGTAGTTCCATGCGGTTGCAAGTACCAAGCAGGAGGTGGTAATTGGTGTTGTTGCGACTGTTCCTATTTCTCGCGTGGTAACTTGTTGGCATGGATGCCGAGTCAAGTTGTATGCCCAGGAATGTAACGGTAGTGTCTGGGTCTTATGGAATACTGGGACACCCAAGTGTTCAGACATACTAATGGCTTCCTTGAAGCTTCTAGAGGGAAAGGCATTCCCTTTGACCAACAAGAAATCATCTCAGGAGTGTATGCCTGTGGGGCATCTGGATATGTTTAACCACAACCAGTAAAGAGTACAACAAATATATTGAAGATTGTGGGCTGCTCTTGACCCGAAAGTTAAGCGGGATAAGAAATATAAAACTGCTGCCCATAAATGCCCTGTAAGTGCCAGTGCAGGGTGGATGGTAGCAGTCTGAAATGCGTTTGTGATATCAGTTTTACTTAACCAGGCTTCCCCTCCCTGCTTGAGTGATAGTTCTAATGGTATGAACAATGGTGGCATACTGTAATGAAAACTCCTCGGAGGGTATGAGGGACTATGGGGGTAGCCGAGGCGTGAGGTGCAGATAAGTCTATGATCAGTTACACTGTGAGGGAAGATTCCCTGTGACAATCCCAATGGGATTGCGCCACACTGTAAATGGTGTAGATCGGAGAGGCCCAGGTAGAAATCTTTCTGCCATTTCTTGAGCCATGAGTGTAATGCCAGCTGTTGGATGCTGCTGTGATGACTGCAAGTTAGGGCATTCTAGATTCCCCCAAAAGTATATGGCAATACCTGAACAGAAGGCCTTTAAAATCGGAGATTAGGAAATAAACTAAATGTCTGGAAGCGTGATGAGTTAGAAAGTACTGGAAATGCATAATGTTTACATACGTGAAGTAAGGTTCAGGGTACATTTATTGGGACACATGGTTTTGCATGTGCCCTGACACATTGGGAACATATCTGCAACAGTCTGCATGCACTGAAACTACATGTGCCAACATGGAAATTGTTGCAAATCTGGGATTTGCCAAAGAGAATGAGACGACCCAATTTGTCTCTGGTAGTTCTCTATGTACTACCAGAGGTGCTAGAGCCTGGAGCTGAAACGTGATCGTCCGCTGTGTTAGGACAAAGTTGTCCTGTGGGACTAGCAACATCTCCAAGCGAAAGTGTGATGACTCTAGCTGGAGTGTTAGGTAGAGATAAATCCTTACCACCTGCTTGATACATACTAAAAAACATGAAGATAGCCATTATTATATGAACCCACAGTGTGCTAGTACTGGCTTGCTAGCTAAAGCCACATGGCGAAACAATTAAACCTTTGTTTGGTGACAGGTGAGGCCCTGCTAGTTGCCAAGTAGCTTGAGAGGCTCTATCTATGCAATGGCGCGAGGGGATTTTTTGTGGCCACCAAACGTAGTGGCAGGATGTTGGCCTCTCGGTGACTGTAATCATAAAAGGGGAAGGGAGTGACAGGTGAGGCCCTCTCTATATACCATGCGAGACGGCTAGCTCACGAGTGGCCCGATGGGTGTTTGCCTCCGAGCGTTGAGGCGGGGTGTTGGCCTCGCGGGACCACTATACGACAGGCGTAGATGCCAAGAAAGGAAAATACCTATTGGAAACCTATAGTCCCTAATTGCCAGTATGCTAAGGATATACCCAGGGGGAAGCAGAAAATGTATGTATATACCACATGAGCAGGTGTATGTACCTGGTAGTATGATTAGATACCCTTACTGGTCGAAAGGGTTATTAATACCTGCATTCCGGACGGGTAAAACAATGTATGAAAATTGAATATATAGACATTTAAAAGCATATACCCATATGTGTGTTATGCAAGTTTAATAGAGCAAAGTGCTCCATCCCAATGTTTATTGTATGCTTGTAATGCCCCTGTTTGAAGGAGATTAACTTGTCGGGAGTGTTATATCATGTGTGATATGGAATACAACTGTATCCCGAAACATGAGTGCAGGGAACCATGACTGGCAGCTGAATAACCTAATATGTGAAAATACATAATTGGAAGGACTTATATTTTAAGCGTGCAAACATGCAAATATTCCATATTAGACTCTGGAATCCTGCATAGTGCTTTAAATAGTATGTGCATTCTTGGGTAAATGTATGTGTATTGTCAGTAAATGTAACTAAATGCCTATGTAGGCAGGTATGATTATATCACAGCAAGCATGATTTGTAAGGAAGTGTTATTGTGTAATTAAAATTATAGTGGGAATGTTATGAGGGGAATAACCATATGTCTGAAAAGCCTGTAGTATACTGTTTGACAAATAGGAGTCAGTATAAAAGCCAAAATGCTGTAGTTAGTTTGTTTGCTTATGAAGTGAAATAAAGTCTGAGAAGCCTGTAGTATACCGATTGACCGGTAAGGGTCAGCATGTAGGCGAAAATGCCGTGGTTCGTTTGTTTGTACATGAAATGCAATAATGTCTGAGATGCCTGTAGTACACTGAATGACCGGTAGGGGTCAGTGTCTTGGTGAAAATGCAGTGGTTTGTACATGAAATGCAAAAACGTCTAAGAAACCTGTAGTACACTGAATGACCGATAGGGGTCAGTGTATAGGCGCAAATGCAGTGGTTCATTGGTTTGTACATGAAATGCAATAATGTCTGAGAAGCCTGTAGTACACTGAATGACCGGTAGGGGTCAGTGTGTAGGTGAAAATAGTGGTTTATTGGTTTCTACATGAAATGCAAAAACGTCTAAGAAGCCTGTAGTACACCGAATGACCAATAGGGGTCAGTGTGTAGGCACAAATGCAGTGGTTCGTTGGTTTGTACATGAAATGCAATATCTGAGAAGCCTGTAGTACACTGAATGACCGGTAGGAGTCAGTGTCTAGGTGAAAATGCAGTGGTTTGTTTGTACATGAAATGCAATAATAGCTGAGAAGCCTGTAGTACATTGAATGACCGGTAGGGGTCAGTGTCTAGGTGAAAATTCAGTGGTTCGTTGGTTTGTACATGAAATGCAATAATAGCTGAGAAGCCTGTAGTACACCGAATGACCGGTAGGGGTCAGTGTGTAGGTGAAAATGCAGTGGTTTATTGGTTTGTACATGAAATGCAAAAACGTCTAAGAAGTTTGTAGTACACAGAATGACCGATAGGGGTCAGCGTGTAGGCACAAATGCAGTGGTTGGTTGGTTTGTACATGAAATGCAATAATGTCTGAGATGCCTGTAGTACACTGAATGACCGGTAGGGGTCAGTATCTAGGTGAAAATGCAGTGGTTCGTTGGTTTGTACATGAAATGCAATAATATCTGAGAAGCCTGTAGTACACTGAATGACCGGTAGGGGTCAGTGTGTAGGTGAAAATGCAGTGGTTTATTGGTTTATACATGAAATGCAAAAACGTCTAAGAAGCCTGTAGTACACAGAATGACCGATAGGGGTCAGTGTGTAGGCACAAATGCAGTGGTTGGTTGGTTTGTACATGAAATGCAATAATGTCTGAGATGCCTGTAGTACACCGAATGACCGGTAGGGGTCAGTGTCTAGGTGAAAATGCAGCGATTCGTTGGTTTGTACATGAAATGCAATATATCTGAGAAGCCTGTAGTACACCGAATGACCGATAGGGGTCAGTGTGTAGGTGAAAAATGTTATTTCGTTTGTAGTTTTAACCCAACAGATTTTAACCAAAACAGATTTTAACCAACAGATTTAACATAAACAGCTAGGTGAGTATAAGGTAACGAATAACCATGCAAAACGAAAGGAAACCGTAAAGTGAGGGCCCGTGCTGTGTTGAACGCCGTGGGAACTAATCCTGGTGCGACAGGTGGGTCAACTTACGGTTTGAGAGTCCCTGAGACACCAAATGCGATGCTGACCAGAGAGAAAGCCACTGGATTAACGGAAATCCCTGCTGCATGATTCCTGGACACAGCTTGGAGTAGGAGACCTCATGGAGCAAAGGTGAAACCAAAATGGCGTCTTGTATGACCTGGAAGTGGATCTCATGCAAATGCTGACCTTGAACAGTCTTTTCATCTGACCAACAAAGGTAAGTAGGGAAAAGGGGGAGTCCCTTTTATAGGTCTATAGCCCCTCCCACAACTTCAGGCCATGCCTTCCAATTTATATTTATAGATTTATAATTAAATGCTGTAGCCTGTGTCATCCATCATTGGTGTCTGTCTTTATTGAGGATTTAATGGTTGGTTATGGGAAGGCTTATCTCATCCAGTGCCCACCACGTACAAAAATGACCTTTGTACTGGAAAATAAATCTTGTTTCAGTGTACTTTCTTAAGATATAAGTCACATATATATTTCTACATTTTTATACTCAACTATACCCAGGAAATATTACCTCCGCTAATGTTCATTGTTTTCATATGTTGTATATAGAGATAATTAACAACATATAATATTGTGATATAACATGCAGAGATCCTTAAGTGTAAGACGATTTTCTAGATCACGCTATATTGCACATTGATTGTATTTTAGTTTTTATACAATGACACAAACTGAAAATCTGGTTGCACAAGATATATTTTATTAATGAAGTTACAGAAAAGATTGATTGTACAGAAAGAGCAGATTACTATAATAAGGTAATTTTAAGCCATTACAATTTGTATCTCATTGTACCAATTATGGCCTTCGTTTAATTCATTTGGATCTGTATTTTAAATGACCATGATCTGTTAGAAAAGCATTTTAAATGGCATCTACAGAAGGCATTATTAAAGTCTACAGGAATTAATCATCAGATTAATCATCTGAAATGTTTTCGTAACAGAATGTGATCATCTAAAATGCTGAGTCAAACTATTTTTAAAAAAATGCCAGTTTATGGAAATTTGTCACAAATTGCAAACTGATTCTCAAAATTAAGACCAAAATTCCTGAGCTAAAAAAATAGTTTGGTTGCTTCAACTCTTACTGTTACTCTTCATCCTAGGCATATTGGTCTTACTTTTTGAAAATCAGTAAAGTCATAGGCTTTCGTGGGGGAGGGGCTTTAAGGGCTGAAGATGTAGATGTAGATTTCTACACTTTTTGGAGGGGACAGGAGGATATTAGTGTTTTTTTATTTTTTATTTTACATCAGACATATTTTCTAAAAAGAAAGATCAGTATTATAGCACTCTGCTAGGCAACTTACGGGGAGGGAGCTTTGACACTGGTGACTTTCGGGAGTAGATACTGGGGAACAGAACTTTGCTGTCAGTATTGAATTGAATACCTGGCTATGCTTTAATTGAGTATCAGGGGCAAACTGTTCATGAATAAAGAGAAGTGGACATAACACAAAAAGGTGGGGGGCTGTCATGCCATATCTCCATTGCTCTGTTAGTGTAGGGGGTCATCAAGTTTTCCATTGGGCTCAAACCCCAGGTGTTTTGGGAACCTACCAACACCCCCGATTTAAGTTATTTTTAGCAAATAAAACCCCAAGGATGTTCTATTAAAATGATTTGTTACAAGCATAATTTCCTAACCTGAGAGTCAATTTGCTAAAAGAAATTTGTGTTTGAGTTCATAACCAATTTTGTAAAATTTACACAAAATTGCTAATATTGTGTAAGTTCGACATTTAAGGTGAATGAGATATTTTTTTTTTTCCAAATCTGGTATTTTGCATTTAAATTTTCATGTTTGTTTGTGATTTAGTTCTACTTAGCGAATAGATTCTCTGTATTTTCAGCTTCGACTGAATTTCACTTACAATTTACAATTTTAAAATCATTTTAAAATAATTTATTGCTAATTATTAAAATTAATTTAAATTATTTCCTATTTTTTTGTTAACTTATTTTAAAGTCATAGCAATTTCTTCTTAGTAGTTGTGTTAGTAGTTGTAGTATAAAGTGGTACAATAGTTCTTTTAAAACCTGTCTGATTAATTCTAAGTTTGTGTCATGTCAATCAAAATTAAATGTATTTGAGTTGGGTAAAGGATTATTTCAGAGACATATTGTGGCATCGAAAACCATAGCATTAATGGTAGTTTGAAAGAACAGAGAGCGAAAAGTTAAAGAAAAAGAATCATCGTGTGTTCATCGTAGATCTTTCGAATCCTTTCTGAACTATATTTTTTAGCATTTAGAATGGCCTTCATTGTGATGATGAGTGCTATTGTTGCTATGAGATCCTAGGAAAACAAATTATTATTAGCATAAATATAATTCCAAACATAACAGCAGTACAAGTCTTATTCATTAAAATTGGTGCTTTTAACAAAATGTTAGTCTAAATCAGTCAAATTTGGAAAAATTGTTAAATTGGACATCTTTTCCAGTTTAATTATTGCAGTTAGTCTAAATCAGTCAAATTTGGAAAAATTGTTAAATTGGACATCTTTTCCAGTTTAATTATTGCAGTCTAAAATGTGCAATTGTCTTGACAATTTTTCACAATATCCAGTTAAAGAACTCAAAGTAACTTAGCAATTAAAGCTCGCTGGATTGATTAGGTTGTCTATTGTAGACTGTCACAGTCTCCCTAATTAATTTCATATCTTTTAAGAACCCTTTAACAAGAGTCTTCCCAAAACTGACATGCTGCACCTCTTTGGCCTCATGGACAATTCAGAACTTTCATATTTTCATTGTCATTCTACTAGAACCAGACTTATCAGCTGAGATTGCTTTGGTGGTTTGTCCCGGCATTCTAATCTAATCAATGCCATGCAGATTGGTTGAAATTAATATTGATAGTGATGAAGCATTCATTTTACATATGCGGTAGGTGGAATAAAACACATACAGTATATCTAAAAAACTAAATGGCTATAAGCAAATACATTATATATGAGATGTGTCCCTTTCTAGTAAAGGCCACTTCATTTTCTATTCTATAATTTCCATTTGAAAACAGAAAATTATTTTACAACTTACCATGTTTTCCACCCAAGAAAGAGTGATTTGAAACACTGCAAAAGGAAAGAAGCATTTGGTTAGAATTTGTTGTATTCCTTCTTCCATTTTCTATGTCTTTAAAGGCATGCAGTAGACCCAACTAACATGTAGAAGAAGGTTCTTGGGTTTAATGAAACCAAACCTGAACTTTAGCATAAACATTACTGGTTGGATTATATTAGATAAATAATTGTATCTCTTGTAATTGAATAGGAAAATGGGAAAACTGATATTCAATTATAAGGAAGAGATAAACATATCTACTCTAATAGAATCTAGAACCCGATGCATCTAAGAATAGATTGGTGGTGCACCTTTTGGCAAGATAATGCACTGTCAAACCTGTACCTTAGCTGTTTAAGAATAAAAACACAAATGTTTTCTTTCACAGTCATAGCCCAGATACATTCTTGAAAGAATTATGGAAGCTGGTTCTACCAAGTATTGACTCGGGCTGAATACTTATGCAACTAACTAATGTCTAATGCGATTTTGTTTGATTGACTTTTGAGTCACCAGAAAAACATCTAAAAAATGTTTGTATCCTGCATGTTGTTTGCATTTTATTTTCTGGCTACTTTAAGGGAGTTAGGAGCTGAAAGACTACTTGAATTTATCAGTTTAAAATCTTACCACATACATATTTCAATTTAGGTAATCAATACATCTCGATTCGATACAACTTTAAATAAATATCAATGTCAGATTTAATTGTATATGTGATTGAATGTAACTTACTGGATTTCTTGTCCTTCCAGAAGGCGTTTGTAGGTGGCAATTTCCATCTCTAGATGTGTCTTTTGGTCCATAAGTATTTTGTACTCATGATTCTGGTGCTCCAGATCAGATCGGATCTGTCCTAGCTGGGATTCTACATTGTTGATTAGGCCTTGTAGCTGGGAGAGCTGGGAGCTGTATCCAGATTCTATTTCTGATAAGGAGCCCTCCATAGCACATTTCTAGAGTCATAAGAAAATTAGAAAATCCCAGATTGAGAAAGGCTCACTTTTTTCATTGAGGAATATTTCAAGATAACGGCAAGAGAAATCAGATATAGGTAAGAATTGGGACAAAGAAGACATGTAAGTTGGAAAGAAAAAAATACAAATTAGTAAACCCTCTCCAATGGCAAACAAAGTTGTGCCATAGGAATGTTTCACTTATGTTAATATTTATTGATGATCATAAATTGGGAACAAAGATTTATATTGTGACAGTAATTATACTAGGGATGTTGACTGATTTGAGCACTGTGAAGTTCTACAAAATGTGAGTAGGATTGCTTTCAATTAATATACACTCACTGGGGTCATATGGGTACATAATGTATATATATGTATATATTTTCCATATTTTATTTACAGTAACCTTTAAGCGACCTCATACTGGCATCTCTAGCAGAGCCAAGACAGATTCAAAATGACAATTTCTGGTCTTGTTTTCATTCCATTACCATCATTTTTTTTCAGGGTTTTTTTTTTTAGAGGGGGTGTTCCAGTTTAAGATACTAGCCCATTGATTAGTACCTGCAACAAGCTTGTTTCTGCTGTAATCTACATAGTGTAGCACTACCTGCAACTCAAGTGAAAGACATACCATGCTTAGTTGACTCTGTAGCTCAATCTCCAAAGTCTGCACATTGCGTTTCAAATCAATGAGTTCAGTTTGGACTGTCTGCAGTTGTTCAGAACCAGATTCCACTTGACGATTCAGCTCTTCACTCTGCAATGACAAAAAACATGACGATAAGTGAGTTTCACGCAATGTCATAAACTCAGCTTGGGTGAAATAAAGATGCATTACTGAAAATAATGTGAAATTATTTTAGGAATTGATTATGTTCTAAAATGAAAAATGTTGCCACCAAAACATTGAAAAATTTAAAAAAGATGTAATGGATTTTTATATGAGGAAATTAACAATATCTTCATTTGCATGTAGATCATCAGCAAAATATGTATAACTTTAACATTGGAACACATTCCTATCTAGCAGCTCTTATTACGACAGAGATAGATAGACAGACAGACAGACAGACAGATAGATAGATAGATAGATAGATAGACTTACCCTTTGCCGGAACATATTTTCTACCTCCCTTAGGTTTCTGTCCATTAAGTTTTCATACTGCTGTCGGATCTCAGACAGGGTTCTATTCAGATCTTTTGATGGAGCAGCGTCAACTTCCACACTGACTCTCTGACCCAGTTGGGCTCTTAGGGCATTCACCTCCTTCAAATAAACCCCACATAGTCATAATTATTTCTGATTCCATCATTCACTGCAATCTTTTTTTTATTAGGATGCAATATCCTTTTGTGATATAACCCTTTTCTCAATACCTCCTCGTGGTTTCTCCTCATTTGCTGCAGCTCTTCCTGCAGGTTTCGAACCTGTTGCTCAAGGTCACATATTTCACGATTCAAGCTTTCTAGGACTCTACGCAGGCCATTCACATCACCCTCAACACTGTTCCTTAGTCTTTGTTCCATCTCGTATCTGACAAATCAAAATGTAAGTTAAAAACGTATTAAATCTTTTAAAAGGAGGATAACCGAATATATGTTGACATATCAGTAAAACACAACATATTAAATTATAACTGAGTTTCAGATATGAGGCCTTTATTTGCATGGTGCATGACAGTATCCTATTGTTTATTTTGGTTTATTTTGATTTTGTTTTGTATTTATATTAATCAAATATTTTAATACTGCAATTATTTTTAATCTTTCTGTATTATTCAGTTTACATTCTGTTAGCGTATATAGGGTTCTTCTGCAATATGTTTGAGGCTTGTAATGTTAACTACATGTTGCATTGCTTGTTCTTTTTGTATGATGTTTTAATATTTGATGTAATTATTTTCTCAAACATGATAAAAAATAAGTTACTCACACTTGTCTTACAGGCAGTATGCTATAATTTATGTTTTTTATGTCCTGGGATCATTTTTTTTTTACAATTTTAACATACTATATAAAAAGCATACTTGTTTCGAAAATCATCAGAAGCCAGACGAGCATTGTCAATTTGAAGAGCAATCCTGGCATTGTCTACTGTTGCTCCGGAGATCTGTGTAAAATGTCAAATAAAGCTGCAGTCAGCTATAATTTGCAAAATATATTGTATTGTTTGTATATGTATGAGAGTAGAGAGTCATTTTTTCTTACCTGACACTGGACCTCCTGTATGATCCTGAAAAAGTTGCTGAAATCAGGTAAAGCACTGGGTTGGTTTCTTTCATACCATTCTCTGATATTCCTCTCCAGCTGGGTATTTTCATTCTCCAGTGAGCGAACCTTCTCCATATAGCATGCCAAGCGGTCATTCAATGATTGCATAGTTTCCTTCTCATTAACACTGAAAATACCGTCTTTCTTTCCGAAGCTAGTATCATGACTATGGACACCATGGCTAAAGGATGAATGCTTGGAGATGGAGATTCCCTTACCTCCTGAACCACCATGCACACTTGGGGCTCGGTAATGGCCTGCGTGGTGGGAAAGGTTTGTTCCTGCATGATGAGAAGTTAGGGAAATCCCATGGTTTTGAGTGTAAGATCCACCATATTGTGAAAGATGGGATCCTCCATAACTAGAAAGGTTGGTACCTCCAAGTTGTTTTTTATGAGAGATTCCGCAGTGAGCTAAAGATTTATGTTTAGTGACATTTTGGGAATGTCCACCACTGTGACAGCTTCTATTTGAGGATCCACTGGAGAATTGATGCTTAATGTGGCTCATGATGATGATCAGAAAATATGTTCTTGAGGAACAATTTAGATTTATTCAGCTACGTAAATAGATGTCCTTCACTTCATCCAGAGTTCTGTTTTTATAACAAGTACAGGGGGTGTTGCTGAGCATGAATGCGTGTTAAACATTTTATAAGCATCTACTTTCTTGATTGGAATTGCAAAGTAGAAACATCAGATTTATTTTTTGAAAAGAGAGAAGCGTTTATTGAAACCTTTAGCTTCAGAAACTGGCTTGATGCACACCCTTATAAAATGAAAGATGAGATTAATAAAATGAGAACATGCTTGGTAATTATTTATGTTACAATGATTCCATTAACCTTTGATTTGTAAGTAACATGCCACCTTTGATGTTTGTCATGTTCAAAACTGATTGTGGTGGTCTAATAATGATACTCTACTATATGTTAGAAGGCAACCAAGTCTTTTTATCTCATCATAAATACTATGTAACAGAGTACTTGACTCCATGCGGCCATCTCAGGGGTTTTGTGTTAAAAAGTTATAGTATTTTGAAGTATGCATACTTGTTTAAGTGTAACCCCACTGATGTGCTATGATATCTCTGCAGTACTACAAAATCCATGCAGTGGCGTACATACCTGGGTCGCAGGGGTCGCGGCTGCGACCGGGCCCGGCCCACCAGGGGGCCCGGCCGCCCCTGCGACCCGGTATGTACGCCCAGGGCCAGCCTCGTCCCCTGGGGGGCCCAGGAGCTGACCACCCCAGGGCCCCCTGAGGCTGGCCCTGCTGACCCCGGGTGGCCGGTCGGACAGGCAGGCGCGCGAGGGAGCACTCAGTGCTTCCTCTTCAGCTCCCTCGCGCACCGCACTGATACCGGAGCCGGAAGATGACGTCATCTTCTGGCGCCGGAATCCCTACGCGGCGCGCGAGGGAGCTGAAGAGGAAGCACTGAGTGCTCCCTCGCGCGCCCGCCTGCCGACCGGCCACCCGCCAGCTGGGGTCAGCAGCACCACTGGACCCCAGGGAATCCCCCCAGCACTCCAAAAGGTAAGGAGGCTGGGGGGATTAAATAAATAAAATAAAAAAAAACATGTGTGTGTGTGTGAGTGTTAGAGTGAGTGTTAGAGTGAGTGTTAGAGTGAGTGTCTGCTAGTGAGTGTTAGTGTGTGTGTTAGAGTGAGTGTTAGTGTGTGTGTCTGCTAGTGAGTGTTAGTGTGTGTGTTAGAGTGAGTGTTAGAGTGAGTGTTAGTGTGTGTGTCTGCTAGTGAGTGTTAGTGTGTGAGTGTTAGTATGTGTGTCTGCTAGTGAGTGTTAGTGTGTGTGAGTGTTAGTATGTGTGTCTGCTAGTGAGTGTTAGTGTGTGTGAGTGTTAGTATGTGTGTCTGCTAGTGAGTGTCAGTGAGTCTTTGATGTCTGTTAGTGAGTGCGTGTTTGTCAATGAGAGTGTATGTTTTGTAAGTGAGTGTGTATGTATGTCTGTCGCTGAGTGTGTCTCTGTTAGCTAGTGTGTATGCGTTTGTAAGTGTGTGTGTGTGTGTGTGTCTTCAGCACTTACCTTTCTCCAGCGCCGGACTCCCTTGGCGCTGGGGATCCCTCAGCCTCTCAGCTCCGAATGTGACCGCGCACGCATTCAAACCGTCCATAGGAAAGCATTACTCAATGCTTTCCTATGGACGTTCAGTGTGCTCCTCTAGCGGCTGTCAGTGAGACAGCCACTAGAGGCTGGATTAACCCTCAGTGAAACATAGCAGTTTCTCTGAAACTGCTATGTTTTCAGCTGCAGGGTTAAAACTAGAGGGACCTGACACCCAGACAACTTCATTGAGCTAAAGTGATCTGGGTGTCTGTAGTGGTCCTTTAAGTGTGTGTGCATCTGCATGCACTGGCGTACATACCGCGGTCTCAGGGGTCGCAACCCTGTAACCCCTGCGACCAGGTGCCCACCGCCATGTGTTGTGGCCCGGCTCGCGCGCGGGGGGGGGCCCACGGATCAATTTTCGCACCGGGGCCCCATGGGTCATGTGTACGCCACTGAATCCATGTGATTGTATGTGAGTGCATTATGGGGGATGAATTGCAAAAATAGCTAAATTAAGTAAAGTTTGATATAGCTCTCTATATATATAGTACATAGGAATCTAGACAAAATGTTATTACTAATATTTTAAGTTTATGTCGTACATGTTAACCCCTTAAAGGACCACTATAGGCACCCAGACCACTTCAGCTTAATGAAGTGGTCTGGGTGCCAGGTCCAGATAGGATTAACCCTTTTTTTTTATAAACATAGCAGTTTCAGAGAAACTGCTATGTTTACACTGAGGGTTAATCCAGCCTCTAAAACCTCTTGTGGCTGCCTCATTGACAGCCGCTAGAGGCGCTTGCGTGCTTCTAACTGTGAAAATCACAGTGAGAAGATGCCAGCTTCCATAGGAAAGCATTATGAATGCTTATTTATATAAATGCTTATTTATTATACAAAAAATACAGACAAATGCAAACAAAATTTAAAATTTTGGTTTTTTTTACAGTTTTTGCAATAATAATGTGTGCATAATTAGTGCAGGTTAAGGAAAGTAATTAAAAATAAATTCATTTAGTTGTTCTGATTTACAAAATATATAATGTGTCTGGGATTTTAAGTTTTTTTTGGTAGTTACAGGTCACAAAGCACAAGGAGTAAACTAAACCTTTAATGTGGAGCGATTTTAGAATTTGGAATGTTTGTCTTGTAAGCTTAATAGCCATAAAAGAAAACAAAAGTGCCACACAAAAGTATATATTTACATAAAGTAGACATCACAGGCTATTTACCTAAGGTTGTTTTGACACTTTCTACGTAGCCATTTCACCGCCAACCTCTGCTAAATATTGGAGTAAAATTGTGGGTTTTTTTTGGTTTTTGGCACACAAACTTATAACAAAGAAATTTTCATGTGTATTTTGTAAAGTTGGTGTGTGCTATTCCTGTACAAAGTTTTATTTTGTGTTCAGTTATATCTGCTGAGTAAAATGACACCCCCATTGTATGTCTTTTGCACTATTTCGTGAAGTTACAGTGCCATACAGGATACCTGTCCTTTTCAGTATTCACAGTAGAATTTTGAGAGACGGATTTAATGAGCCTATGCTTCCATTTGAGGTATTATAGTAGTTTGACTGTTCAAAAAAAAACACAAAGGCCTACCATTTGTAAAAGTAGACACTCCAGGGTATCTCATAAGGTGCATATTGTGCCTTAACATGCCCCCATTGTTTTCACCAATATATGCCAAAGTATGTGGTAAAAAATAATTTTGTGCATTTTTTACATACGGATTGCATTTTTGCTGGGCATTTTGTATATTTCATATGTGACACTAAGTTCAAACCCCCCAAATTATGCTCAGCTAAGTCTTCTGAGTAAAAGGACACCCCCATTGTATGTTTTTGGCACTATTTCGTGAAGCTACAGTGCCATATAGGAGACCTGTCCTTTTCAGTATTCACAGTAGAATTTTGAGAGACAGATTTAATGAGCCTTTGCTTCCATTTGGGGTATTATAACAGTTTGACTGTTCAATAAAAACCCACAAAGGCCTACCATTTGTAAAAGTAGACACTCCAGGGTATCTCATAAGGTGCATATTGTGCCTTAACATGCCCCCATTTTTTCACCAATATATGCCAAAGTATGTGGTAAAAAATAATTTTGTGCATTTTTTACATACGGATTGCATTTTTGCTGGGCATTTTGTATATTTCATATGTGCTACTAAGTTCAAACCCCCCACATTATGCTCAGCTAAGTCTTCTGAGTAAAAAGACACCTCAATGAATGTCTTTGGCACTATTTCGTGAAGCTACAGTGCCATATAGGAGACCAAGCCATATCAGTTTTTACCGAACTTTTAATTTTTGTGCAATTTCCAAGCATCTTCGCAGGTTTTAAATTCAAACTACCCCACAAAGGCCTACCATTTCTTAAAGTAGACACCCCAGGGTATTTCAAAAGGTATATTTTGAACCTTAGCGTGGGATCATTTTTCCGCTAGCTTGTACCAGGTGTAGTGGTAGTAAGCGTTTTTTCTGCCTTTTTGACACACAAAATGAGTATGCACATTATTTGTGCAAACCTTATGTGTGCTACCACTGTATAATACTTCATATGTTGCTCAGCTATGTCGGCTGAGTACAGCAATACCCCCGTATGTACCTTTGCCAGGTATATGTGGACATCGGAGGGGCACATTTGGGACACAGCCATTCCAGTTTTTTTCAAACTTAAAATTTTTACACTGTGCCCATGTCCCATTTTAGAGTATTTTACCAGGCTGTATAATTCAAATACCCCATAAAGCCATACCATTTCTTAAAGAAGAAATCCCAGGGTATTTCAAAAGGCATATTTTGAACCTTAGCGTGGGATAATTTTTCCGTTAGCTTGTACCAAGTGTAGTGGTAATAAGCGTTTTTTCTGCCTTTTTGACACAAAGTGAGTTTGCGCAGTATATTTTGCAAACCTTATGTGTGCTACGACTGTATAATACTTCATATGTTGCTCAGCTATGTCGGCTGAGTACAGCAATAACCCCGTATGTACCTTTGCCAGGTATATGTGATGTTGAAGGGGCGCATTTGAGACGCAGCCATTCAGTTTTTTTCTAACTTTGAAGTTTTTTAAGCTGTATCCATGTTCCATTGTGGAGTAGTTTAGACGGTTGGTTATTGAAACTTCCCCACAAACACATACTATTTATTAAAGAATACACCGTGCAAAAGGCATATTTTGAACCTTAGCGTGGGATCATTTTTTCTCTAGTTTGTTCCAGGTGTATTGGTAATGAGCGTTTTTAAATGTATTTTTGTTTTGCTTAATAAATTTTTTTAAACTTTCCTAAACTTTCTTAAAACTTTTTTTTACAGATTTAACATTTTTCTAAGCTCTTTCTTTACCGTTAACCCCTAACTAGCAGTAAGCAGCACTAACAGTAAATTCCCCATTTTCCCATTACTCCCACCCACCTCAGCTAGCAAAATATATAATTATAAAATATTTAAATTAATTAATTAAATAAATTGAACCCCTGAGAATAAAAGTTAATCCTCAGGGGTTAAAAAAAAATTAGATCACAATATATAATGATCTGTATTTTGATCACTGTAGGCAGTGATCGACTGGCAGGGAAGGGGTTAATTTTTTTTAAGCTTAATTTTTAACTTTTTAAAGTTTATTTTAAAACTTTTTTTAACGTTAACCCCTAGTTAGCCTAACACCAAATTCCCCAATTCCCCACTAACTTCCACCCACCCCAGCTAGCTAAATATATAATTTTAAAATATTTAAATGAATTAATTAAATAAATGTAACCCCTGAGGGTTAAAAAAAAAAGAATTAACCCTCAGGGGTTAAAAAAAAATCAGATGACAGTAAAATGTTAAATGTAATCCCTGCCAATTGATCACTGTAGTCAGTGAACAATTGGCAGGGAAGGGGTTAATTTTTTATTAAAAAATGGGTAATGGGGGGTGGGATTTTAAATTAACTTTATTTTTTATTGTGATCAGTCTCCCTGCACTTCACACAGAACCAGGAAGTGCAGGGAGGCGGAAGGTGAGTATACTAAGAACGTGTGATCGCTCTGACATCCTGATCGGGTGTAATACAGAGGCAGACCGGAGCACCATTAATCCCGCGATCGCCGCAATAGCGGCGATCCGGGGTTAATTTTAACGGGTGACGGACGAGGTCCGTCACTCGTCGTTAAGGGTTTCCCCTGAGTGACGGACCTCGTCCGTCACTCGTCATTAAGGGGTTAAAGTGTCAAATATAAACATAAACAAATGTACTTCCTAATGTAAAAAAACAAGATAAACTCACAGCTCAGGAATTAAATGTGTTTGATATATGTAATTGGTTAAGTATATGAATGGCTTTTAAAAAAAAATCATCAACCTTTTTTTTTTTTTTTATTAAATAAGTCAGCATTAACATGGTTTTATTACATATTATGTCAGTATAGTTTATTTGCTTTGGTATATGTGAACACGTATTCTAATGCTAAAGAGGTTACAGCTGACCTCATTCAAATGTACCAGTTTAGAGATTCACTGTGGTCAAAGTTCAAGCGTACTGGCTCCATGAATGATCACTGTACTTACAGACAATGGCGAAATGCGTGCACAAAACAAACATAACTGGCAAAGGCCCAATATTTAAGTGAACATATGAACAACAACCTATCAAACCCAAGAAACTTCTGATAAATCAAAAATCGCATACAAACCCCCCACAATCCAATCAAAATGGACAACCAAACACTGCAACACCCCCTAGATGTAGCAAATGCCTTTAATCATTATTTTGTTGGATGTGCTACCACCCTGGTTGCTAATATCAAATAACACTCATTTTCAGACCGCAAATAAAGATCAAATCTTCAAAATCCTCATATAGAGAAATTCTATTTTATACCTGTGCCTGTTAGTGTCGTTAATAAACATCTTAATAATTTTAAAATGAAAAGCCAGTGTGGACCAGATCAAATCCCAACAATGTTGGTGAAGCTCAGTGTGCCAGCAATTGCCAAACCTGTCACTACCCTTATCAATGAATCCCTGTTGTCAGGATACATACCAAAACTTTGGAAGAATGCAAAAGTTGTACCTATCCATAAAAGTGGTGACAATACTTTGGTGTATAACTATCGCCTGATATCATTGCTCCCTGTATTGTCAAAAATCTTGGGAAAATGCATCCACATGCAACTATGTGAATATTATCAACGATCAAATTATCTGAACCCTGATCAACATTCGTCCAAATCACTTAACTTCAACTGCCCTCTTAAAAGTTTGCAATGACATCCAAATTGACATGGAACAAGGAGACTTAACTGGAGCTATTTTCCTTAAATTTGGCCAAGGCCTTTGACACAGTAGACCATGGCATTGGTGATTGTCCGCTAATCTAGTTTCGATCGTATGTTTCAGACCGATTGCAATATGTGGCCATTTCTGATAGCGCTTCCCTTCCTCTTCCAGTCACGCGTGGTGTTCCCCAAGGCTCCATACTCAGCCCCCTGCTATTCACATTATTTATAAATGATCTGCCTAACGTCTGCAAATCCTCAACTGTACACATGGATGCAGACGACTCTGTAATCTACGCTAGTAAACCCAATCTACCGCAGCTTGAGGCTGTGCTCCAAAACCAATTCACATAGGTAGAAAAGTGGATAGCGGATAACAAACTCTTCCTAAACACTGACAAAACTGTTACAATGATCTTTGGAACTGTACCTAAATTACATAAACTACAAAATCAACAACTGTGTATCAGAACAAATTCATATAGCACACTGACAGCAATCTGCTCTTTTACACATCTAGAGAAGTTGCTAGACCCCAATTTATCCTTTGGCCTTCACATTGAAAAATCTCTTCAAAGCTTTACCCAAAACTTGGTGCCCTGTACAGAAGCAAATCCTGCCTAAGGCCTACAGTAAGGAAACAGATAGTGCAACAAATGCTAATGCCAGTCATTGATTATGCACCCGCACCGCAAACCCACCTTAATAAACGTAATACGTTATATAATTTGTTCTGCCACTTTGTACTACAATATAATTACGTTACCCACCACTGTGACATGTTAAAAGAGCTAAACTGGCTATCGCTGGAATCCCGACGCACTCTTCATCTTTCCAGCCTTGTACATAAGAGCATTTCTGGGAAGCTCCCACCCTACCTGAGCAGAATTTTCTCCCCGGCTGTTCCCACCTCCAATAACCTCCGATCCAGTACTAACACAATATTTAGCATACTGCAATACAAAAATAAAGTAGACGGCTACTAGAGGTGCTTTCTGGGTCAAGGCTGCACAGTTTGCAGCACTGACTATCAGCATCTCCACGCCCTGCATGGAGACACTGAACGTTCCCCATAGAGATGGATGAACTCACCAAATCTCTATGAGGAGATGAGATTGGCACGCATTGGATTGGCTGAGATTGTCAATTCTGATAATCTCAGCCAAGGAGGTGGAGTGTGGGTGGAGCCAGCACTGGCGGACCTGCAAGGCATGAAATAAAGTGTCAGGAATACACATTTGTATTCCTGACACTATAGTGTTTCTTTAAACAGATCCAATTCAAAGTTTTCTAGCAACTTGTTCATTAAGAAGACTGTAAAAAGTACACAAGTACTCAGTGTGTATAGAGTCAAATGAGGGAGAACCTTCAGAACAACAAGATTATGGAATTTCATATACTAGAGTTAGTGGTGGGATTCAGCCGGTTCGCACCAGTTTGTGTGAACCTAGTACTAACATTTAACAAGTTTGCCGAACCATCTGCAAAACCAGCTGCCACCAGTGTGACAACTGACTTCTCCGCTCCCCACAACCTGCAGGCAGCTTGCAGCTCCATAAGGGAACCGCACACACACTAAGAAAGCTGGGAGCGCCTCCCCCTTCCTCTCAGTGTTGGATCGCCAGGAGTCATGTGACTACCCGGTGCTCAAAATGAAGGAGGCAGAGGGCACCGGGGATTGCGAGGCCCTCTCCCCTGCCTAGACAGGTAAGCAGGGAGGGGGGCCATTTATCATTAGGTGAGGTAACAGGCTGCCTGCCAGTTATGGAAGAAGGGAGAGAGAGAGACACATCAGTGTCATGGGGTGGGGGGACATGGATAGAATATGTAAGGGGACATGGAGGCTAGATGGGCATGGAGGAGAGGGGGCATGGATGGGAGGGGGACATGACGAGGAGGGGGACATGGAGAGGAGAGGGATATGGGAATTGATAAGTGGACATGGAGGGGAGGGGGACATGAAGAGGAGGAGGACATGGAGGGAAGTCACCCTCCCATGTACACTGTTACCATATCACACACACTGTCACCATCTTAACACATTGTCACACTGTCACCCTCATTGGAGGCAGAGAGGCTAGTGGCCGAGAGATGGCACAAAGAGGCTAAGGGCAGAGAGATGGAACAGAGAGGCTAGTGGCAGAGAGATGGCACACACAGGGTAAGGGCAGAATGGCATCAGGAGGCTGTTTAGGAGCACATGGGGCCCATTGGCATGATATACAAATGTTATGAATGTATTGATATACCTTGTTTATGTATTATTGCTTCATTGGCAAGATATACTAAGTGTATGCATTTACTTTCCATTGGCATAATATATCAAGTTAATGTATTTATTGCTCATTGCATGGTATAGCTAATTTTTGTATATTCTGCTTATTGGCAAAATATACAAAGTTTATGCATTTAATGCATTAATAGCATTTCCTTTGCCCCCCAGGATATATATGTGTGACTGTGTTGATGTACTTGTGTGTGTGTGTGTGTGTGTGTGTGTGTGTGTGTGTGTGTGCATGACAAGGGAGGGGGTGGTGTCTTGGACCCATTGTCTTGGCCCAGTCCCGTGGAGTTGGAAACATGAAAAGTTGGAACTGGTTACTAAACTTTTGAATCCCACTCCTGACTAGGGGGGATTGAATAGTTTTAAGATCTTCTGTACTCATCCTGGTGGTCCACTGATCTGCCGCTGCTCCTAAGCTGTCAGAGGCTCCCGTCAGCCTCTCGGACGCTGGATGCTGTGTGCCCTCCCCTTTTTATGATGCGGCGCACACGTGCTGGCGTTATGACATCACTAGCGCGCTAACCAATAGAGCTTAGCACTCTCGCACCTTTTGGGGGCATGGGTATGCTAACCACGCCCCCACACATATAAAACCTCAGTTTGCCCAAGGCACAGTGCCCTGTTGTGATTCCTAGTGTCTCTAGTGTCCCATTAGGGCGTTCTTCTGTCCTTTTGGTATTTTTGGTATTTGACCTGTCTTGTTATCGACTACTCTGTTTTCTGGTTTCCCTGACTCGGCTTCATCCCTCGTGATTGTGTATTTCTGGATTCCCTTGAACTTGGCTGGTTTTTGACGTTTCTTGTAGTTTTCTCTGTATTCCGGCCATTCTAAGGACCGGTTTATGGACTTTATTTCAGTCTCTGTTTCTACTGGTGGGTTTTCACACTGCCTGTTAGGTAAATCGTTACAATAGTCTCCTGAAACTGCTATTGTGTAGTATTGACAATACTATACTAAAACTGTGTGTGAAATCCCCTATATGGAGCAAACTTGTGTATATATTAGTTAGTAGTATATGTTTTTAACTATCATGTCATTAAATTAAATACGAAAAATAAAAAATGCTCAGGCACTCACTGTGTTGAAGTATAAGCAGGATTTTAATGGAACATTATAGCTTGACAAAGACCTGAGTGCAGGTTGAAACGTTGCTGTGCACTTGACGTTCCATTAAAATCCTTCTTATACGTGTGGGGTGTGCTGGTCCTAGCTCAGTTTAGCAAACTGTGTTTTTTTTTTGGTTGAGTGCAGTCCCTATAATTTTTCATATTAAATTAAGTACAGCTTAATGTGTATTTTGCTATTACTAGAAAGATATTTGGTCCTATACCTCCAAAATCTTGATACAAATAATACTGACCCTGGAAGTGGCACACTACCACACAAGTATATCCACTTTATACTCGACCACTATGTGAATAGTTCAGGTCACAATGAAGCAGCTAAGCAACATGTCTGATGGCTGCAGCAGTTCCCACAGCACACTATCACTGTAATAAGTGTGTGTGTGTGTGTGGGTGTGTATGTGTGTGTATGTGTGTTATTGTGCATGTATGTCAGCATGTATAAATGTTTATGTATCTGATAGTATATTTTGGTGTATATGTGACTGTGTATAAATGTCTCTGACATTGTGTATTTGTGTGTGGCACTGAGTATCTGTGTGTCTGTCTTTCTGGCAGTTGTATAAGTAAAAGTCTGGAATATGTGTTTGTGTGTGTACATGAGAGTGTGTGTGTGTGTGTGTGTGTTGAGTGTGTATATACGTGCATTTATCAATGTACATATATGTGTGTGAACATGTGAGTGTTTGTATGCATTAATGTATTTGTATTTACTTTGTATCACACAGCCTTGTTACAATGCTGCTGCCCATCCCATGTGTTCCCTATTAAGGGTTAATAAGTATATAGGGGTGTATATAAAAATACCCCTCTGTCTCATTAGAGCCAGAAGCTCAAGGAAGCAGGCTGAAGGGTCAGTGTTAGGACCTGCTTAGGGGGGTCTGCCTTGACGTTGCCAGGCGGGCATTCCCTCCAATGGCCATTGGAGCAACTAAATGACCTCCATTTGTCTAAATATACATAGGGATTAAGGAGAGAGCGCAGGTAACTTTTTCTTTTCTTTGGTTTTTACTATATATTGGGGCTGATGTATACTGTAGTCATTGCTGCCGGCCCATTAGTGATGGGAGTGAGTGCAGGACTTCTCTTTTTGTATTAATGTATGTGTGTCCAGAGAGGCAATATGGTTGCGATGAGAATGATTTGGTATGGGTTATGTCATGGCATGTGACAACATTTATTATAATTATACAATGCATCCCCTGGATGTTGGGCAAAAGTGACATCCCCAGGACGATGACAACCAGAATAATCTGGATGTACCTTTCCTGGTTAAATACATTATTATTATTATTATTATTATTATTATTATTATTATTACATATATAGTTGATTACAACACTGTTTCTTTATCTGTAACTTCATTAGTTGGTAATTTTAAAAAAAAAAATTTGGTAAGTGTTTCAGTTCAACCCAAATTTTCATTTTTGTTTCCATTGTAATGCACAATGCATACTGAAACTAAAAATACATTTAAACATTACTTTTCAGGACACCCAAAATACCCAGTGTTTTTTTTTTTTTCCAAAACCGCTTGGTAGTTTTTTATGTGCTTATTAAAACTAGCATATGAGGTGCATGAGAAGTTTAACATGATGGTTGTTTTATATTTCCTAGGAAAGTGACAATGCTACTTTGTTATTGAGGTGGACTCGTAGTTTGACAACATGATTTAATATATAATAAAACATTTTATCTAGCTTGTCTTACAATTGTATTTGTAAGCAATAAAGCTTTTGAGTTATTAGACATCAAAGATTTTTGTTTGCAGGTTTTTATGCGCATATTAACCTCTTTCTATGCTCTGACCCAAGGGTGTTGGACATGGAGTTGAAAGGTTACTTGTCAAAACAAAGTGCACTAATGTGTATGTTCTAATTAGTGGGATGAATGTCACCACAGCTTTTTGGGTGGTAGTCTAAAACTGTCTAAACCACATAGCATGCTTAGAGGAAATTATTAACGGTGTGGATTTTGTTTTCATCTTTTTTTATTTGCCAATATTCTTTGTTCTATGCCTTGTGGATAAAGACCTATCTACGAATATCCTTTACCGTATAGCCAGTAATGCCACCAAACCACAGCCACTCTTTCTCAATTCAATGACAATACCAGAATACCTGTGGTTAGCAGACAGATATATGTTCTTGGTGAACAACCTTTTAAGGGTAAGCAAAATGCTAGAAAGACACGTTCGAGAAGTTAGTTGAAAGAGATTTATTCAAACTAGCAGCTCATACCGAAAAGAGACAAATTAAAGATAATTTAACTGCGGAAGAGAGACAAGGCCTGATGGTACTGATGGTAGGACAATCAGACAAGAGAGGTAAAGTCATGGTAACTCAACAAACAAAAATAATTTACAGAGTACTATAGGCAATTATCAGATGAGACAACTTATGTTAGGCTCTTAAAAGATCCGACTAAAACATGTACAGCTTTACTTAGAGAATTAGTTGATTGGTGATTTTCCCTTGGTATTTTAAGAGACAGAGAGAGATCTTTTATTGTTCCACCTCCCAAAAATCCACAAGTCCATTGTAGATCCTCCAGACTGTCCTATGGTACTAGGCATTAGATCTTTCGGAGACTGGTTGTCTGAATGCGTGGATGTCCACATTCAGCCCTTGGTTAGGCGTCTATAGAGCTATTATAGAGAAACTAAGCATGTGTAACAGAAAAATGCCCCCTAGAGAGAGTATTTTTTGGGTGTCCTTGGATTCCAACTCATTATACTCCTCATAATTCAGGAATAATTACTTTAACTCATTAACGTGAACAATTTTCAGTCTTACCTTATGCAATAATGTTGTATCTCTGTTGTGGAGTTTTGTTAAGCCATAATTACTTTTTGACAGTGCCTTCTATAGCCAAAGATGTGGGACAGCTATGGGGACTAATTTTTTGCCCTCACATGCCAACCTTTTTATGGGTTGGTGGGAGTGGTTCCACATCTGTTGAGATGGCAACCTATCTAAGGGAGTATTTTGGCATGTACAGCTGATTTTGTAAAGATTTTTTGTTCATTTGGAGAGGGTCATCAATGATTAAAATACAAATGATTTCCACTTAACTTTTACCTTTAACCCCTTAAGGACACATGACATGTGTGACATGTCATGATTCCCTTTTATTCCAAAAGTTTGGTCCTTAAGGGGTTAAATGGCATATCACCAACATAACCTTTTTTAGATCTGCACTTGATAGCAGATTGTCACAGGGGAAATTGCCTCTGAAAATGACAGAATATTTACAGCGGGGGGATTCTCTTATTGGCTACAAGTTGTCATCCCCACTAGACTGTTACGAGTATCCTCAATAGGGATAGTAGATCAAGTAATGAGGGTTTTGAAAAACATGCGTTGTTATTCTTCAAGCATTTGAAGGTATATATAAGTTCAAGGCTATTTGTAGAGAATATGACATACTTGTTAGTTATTGAAACGTAATACATATTCTGTATTCAAGTGTTCTGTGTATTATTTTATGGAATGTTTGTGTTGAATTTTCTTTTATTTTTATTATTCATTATAGTTATATTTGTTGGGGATCAATTTAATTTCTTTCTCTTATTTTAATTATATTTCCCTTAAGACAATCTGTGGTCTGTAGTGGATATGTAAGGTGATTAAGTTATTGCTTGAAAGCTTAATTAATAATTAATTGGCTATAAATACCTCCTTGTACTATTTATTTGTATTCCTATGGTTAAGGTCCACTAGGTCCGAAACGCATTTTCTATCACTGTCCCTCTCTTTGCTCTCTCCAAGCCTGTCTGAGAAGTGTCATTAAAGCTTATTTTATCGCTCATTCATTGCCGATGTGGCATGCATTTTCTACAAGCCCGACTATTTGTTGTACTTCAGTGTATGTTTGGAGTGGATCCTTTGCAGTCTGCCAGCGTAGAGCCCGGTAAGTCGTCCACAGAATTATAGAGATAATATTTACTTGCTTCAGACCTATTTTGCAAATATGATCCTATTTTCATAAGCAAAAAGCTAGCTATGAGACAGAGTGGGATTGCGATCTGCTCCAGATGCAAGGTTTTATGTTCTGTTATATTTGAGTTTTATAACAGAAAGCATATTTCATCACCCATATTTGTTGGAATCAGCATTCTGCATAGCTAGCTAGTGTGGTGGTGCTAAAGAGAAATGTTTTTCTACCTGCAAAAAAGGTTAAGGGTACATTTGGATTCAAGAGACAACCAGTATAATTGTTTAAAGCAGTTCTGTCACTAGAAGTTAATATTATCCAACCTGTTTCTATATATCTTCCTGTGTCTGAATATCCTTTCAACTTTTTTCCCTGTGAAATATATATGCAAAGTAGGAACTACTTTTCCTAGAGTATAGCAATCATGTTGGCAAAACTTGAAAATGGGCAGAGCTTTCGTTCAATTGCCAGTCAAATTTACCCATAACCCACCAATAAAATGAATCTCACAGAAGGGAAAATAGAAGACATCTTGGGCAGAGAAAACAAAATGGCTGCACCCAGATATTGAGATCTGACACAAGGAAGAATAAATAATAACTAAAAATAAATAATAATCCTGGTCCCCAAACGAACAAGCCTTACTGAGCCTTACAAATATTAAATAAACATGGATGGCTAACTGAAACAGAGCGAATCTGGGTATGCTGCAAGATGGCCATGTAGCTGCTATGTGTAGGAGTCCTTGCCCACAACCTAGCAATCACCTGTCAAAATATGACTATATTTATGAAAAGTTCTGTGCTCAGTTGTCACAACGAGTGGCCCTGGTTAAGCTGGATACTGCCTTCTGGACAGAGCAGAGAGGCAACACAGTAAGAGGTCCCAGAGACTTATGCTGGGCATAGCTTACATTTCTAGCAGAATTACTCAACAATTGCACCCACCCAGGTTGTCTCCTTTCCGTCAGCCACATCTGTGGAGGGCCGCTGAGGACATGAAAGAAGCACCAAAGCCTATTTCCGAGGTAGGTCCACACACAGGCTCCCAGGGGTGAAACACTTGGCTACCAAGTGCTATTAGGTCTGGGGCTGGTATGGTGTCTTCTTTTGGTCCACACACTGTGCTCTAGCACCTGGACTTTGGGAATCTACTCTGGGAATCGGCTGATTACTTACCGAATGCAGCTCCTTGCCTCTTGTTATTTCCCTTTACTAGATTGTTATTATATTGATGTTTTAAAGGTGTGCATATTGCCTGCATTATTATGTATTTTTAAATGGCTGATTATTTTTATAAGTTTGGTGATTTGCCCCCTATTCTTCGTTTTTCGGTGCCTGGGACCTGATAAATCAAATGTGCATCAAATGAGTAAGGTGGGCTCTGAGTAAGGTGAGCTTAAAAATTTATTTTAAGCAATTCATATATGGGACTATGATATATACTGCACCATTGGAGTTCTCTTTTCTTTCTGTAAAACAACATTTTGAGAACCGCTCGATGGAAGGTGGTATGCTACCATAAAGACTTAAAGGTGCTGTTACAGAATCTGATCCATGTGAGTGGATCTTATCATTTTTTATTTTAAGTTCTATGTGTATTACCATCTACACTATATAGTTTTTTTGTTTGTTTCCTTCCTAATGAATTCAATGTGTACCCGTGATATACCATTTTAAGAAGGGTAAGAATAATTGCACTTGGACTAATTTTTAGTACTCTTCTCTATCACCTTGATTACAATATATAGAAATATTTTTTTTTTTTTTTAAAGCAATCTTAAATATCTGTTGTCTTTCGTATGCTGCTATCTATATTACAAATATGTAATATGTATTGAATAGTCCAAGGTTATCACTATGTATATTAAAGCTGCATGACAATAATTTGCTTAGAACAGAATTTTTAATTAGTTAACTGAACAAACATTAAAGCACAAGAAGGGATGAATACTCTAATTGATTCTCTCTAGAAACAGATTGAAGAATATGTCAAATCAGTAGTTTTCATGCTTTGATCCTTCACGGGGGGGCCCACAATGTTTTCGGAACACCTAATGTTTGGCCTGCTGAACATTCTGTGTGATGCGTTGAACCTTTACATTTTGGTTCGATTCTGGAAGATAAAACATTGGTGATGAGGAAAAAGAAACACAAGTAGTTTAAGATGTTTTGAGCGCCAGATATTGCCCATATTACTGCTGTCCCTCTAACTAAAATTACACAGTCATTATGGCTCTTATATAAGAAAGATGAGCGAAGAAGAAATTAGGTTAACCATCGGTGCACTGGTGTGTGCATGGATGACATAAGGAGGCTACCACCTAAATATTGTGTTGATGCAGTGTGGGTTTGTCCATCTCTCCCTACCCCAGAATTTATATGAATAAAAAAATAACCAGTCTAGTCAAGTCAAAAATGTTATATTATTATTTTTTTATTTTTTTTATACCCTAGTCTCTTGGTATAAGCCTCCCAGACATGTGTATTGTGGTGTTACAGGATTTCTAAAGGCCATCCATTCGGTAATAGCATCAAGGGGGTGAGCTAGACCTCTTTAAAGTATTTTTTCCCCAAATATATCTGTTTACAAGTTGATAGTGTTGAACAGGATATTACTTTTTATTGTTTTAGGGGTAAAATGAGCAGATCCAGGCCACTCAGAGGCAGCTTCAAATTCTGAACTTAGAGTCAAGCGCCCATACATCCTTAAACTTCATCAGGTACCACTGTACGAAGGTATACACTATTCCACTGTTAAAAACTTGGTTCTCACACAAGATCAAAAAGATATTAGAATGGTTCAATAACGCTACTTCCAAGTGAAACTTGCCTCATTGATTCATACGTAAGTATATAGGCAATATTTTCTGTTTCTAATTAAGCTAAAGATATTAAAATAATAATAATCACCATTATCAGAGTTGTCTTAATTTATTTTTTAATTTAGGTTTAGTGTTTCACAAAATAACATTTTTCTGTTATTAATTTTGAGATGCTTCACAATCAAGCAAATAAAAGGGAAACGTGGATTGTTTTTACGTTTTAATTATATTGTATTAATTGCTACATTTTTGTTGTATGTCTTACCATTTTTGTCATGTTGTCCAGAAACACTGTTGAGAAAAAAAATGCATAGATTATAAAAATTACAAAATAATCAATTACTTGGATATTTCACTATATTTTTCTATATCTTATTGATAGGATTGTATTGTTCAGTAAAGGTTTTTCATTTACAATCAAGAATGTTTCAAAACAAAATTTCACTTTTTAGATAGTTGAATAGTAAGAAAAATATTTAGGACTATTTCATTATTTTGTGATGCATTAAATCATGGTTTTCTTTTCGTATTAAATTTCAACATAGGTAAACAGGCAACTGTTTAATTTTTGCAATTATCAAACCTTACAGGGTTACTCCAAACATCATAACCCACTTTTTGGGTTTTGATACAAGGAATTCCATGGTGCTCTTCCCCATTAAAGGGGCAAACCATTTTGCAATGTCTTACTTCTTACCTAGGTCACACCAGGTGCTGAGTCTCTGTCCCTGGCAGATGAACCACATCTGGCTTCTGCAGAGCTACACCATGACCACTTCAAAATCCTGGAGTGGACATGGTGCTTGAACTAACCCTTTAAGCTTTGAGGAATTGGCCAGCTACAACATAACTTACATGGAGATCTTTTTTCAGGATAGCATCAATATTAGACCAGGGGTAGACAGCCCTCGACACTCCAGATGTTGGGAACTACATCTCCCCTGATTCTTTTCCAGCAATATGGATGTAAGACCATTATGTGAGATGTAGTCCACAACATTTGGAGTGCAACAGCTTGCCTACCCCAGTTATAGTCTACAGTTAGCCCAAAATGGTCTTCAACTTATCAACCTCTTCTCAGAAACCTAAGAATAATGGCAATAATTTTATGTATCTTGTTGCACTACACCTAAGATAGATTTTGTATTATTAATTATAACCTCTCTAACAATTTTATAATATAAAGAGTATTTTCTCATACGTACTGGATATCGTGTCCTTCCAGTAAGCGCTTGTATGTTGCAATCTCCATTTCCAGGTGGTTCTTCTGGTCCATGAGAATTTTGTACTCAACAATTTGGTGTTCTAGGTCAGATCGAAGCTGTGCAAGCTGAGATTCAACGTGATTGATCATCTCTTGTAACTGGGAAAGCTGGGAACCATATCTGGCATTAGTTTCCATCAATATGCCTTCCATAGTTTCTTTCTGTAGGAATTAGAAAACAGAAATGTTGTCATTTATTGTGTTTTTGATAACATTTGAGAGATGATTGGGCATTACAAAAAAAAATATTGCAGACACTTTGTTTATAAATTTATTTATTTTTTACTGTTAATGATCAATTTTGAGATGTAAGCAACATTCCACAAACTTTTATGAAATTTTTCTTACTACTAAATTTTCTTTGTAATGCACTCTGGGTCTAGGCATACATATTTGTTTACGTATAATGGAGTATAATAAAGTAACCAGCATAATGTTTTTATTTTTCAGAATTACTTTCCTATGTGGAAAAAAAAAAACAGCCATTTTTAACGATATGATAGTGTTAATTATAAATGCATAATAGAAAAGAAAATTGTATTTTACCAGGCTCCATTGACTCTGTAGTTCGATCTCGAGGGTCTGCAGGGTACGCTTTAATTCAATAAGGTCTACAGTTACTGACTGTAACTGTTCAGCACCAGATACCACTTCATGACTCAGTTCTTCAGTCTAAAAAAATAAAAATAATAAAAGAAGGTTAATATTGAAAAGCATATATATCTTTTTTTATATATTATTTTTTTATTTGATATTTGAACATAAGAAAATATACATTTTATATTTAAGCAGAAGAAAATATAAAAGTTATTGATCTGTACGCAGTTCTCTACTCCAAGGCAAATGCAGATATGGTAAAATTCAACTTACCCTTGCAATGAATATGTTCTCAACTTCTCGCAAATTCTTTTCCATGAGGTTCTCGTATTGCTGTCGGATCTCGGACAAGGACTGATTAAGGTCTATAGCTGGAGCAGCGTCCACTTCCACGCTCACTCTTAGTCCCAGCTGTGCACGCAGACCGTTCACTTCCTGCGTGGTGAAAAGGTAGAAAAAATAATGGCTACTAAATGATTTTTAAAACATATATAGTGCATTTGGAGAGTTCCTTTACTGCCTTATCCTCTGTACTATATTTAAATATAGAACCTCCAGTTGTTTATGAACTGTGACTTTAATGAGCTTTTGCCAGTCAAAAATACACCTATCTATAGTTGGTTAAAAACTGGGAGTCGGTTATTTGAAGATCCCCTCTACTAACATTACCTCCTCGTGGTTATTCTTAAACTGTTGCAGCTCCTCCTCAAGAGACTGAACTTGCATATCAAAGTCACATCTTTCTATATTCAGTCTTTCCAGGACCCTGCGCAGACCTTTGACATCAGATGAGATATTGTTGCTCAGGCCCAACTCAATCTCATATCTTAACAAAAACAAAACAGAAAATAAAAAAAGTAAGTTAAAAGGACACCAATAAAAAACATCTTCTAGACCATATGTTGATATACTTGTATCTAAAGTACAGGTTAAAAAAAAAACAGTTTTTTGGGGTACTCCAATATATATCTTAGCATAGGTCTATCATAGCTACGGGATGCTTTTGAGCCTCATAAGTATTACAGGGATTCTCTAGTGCCAGGAAAACAAACCCATTTTCCTGGCACTGTAGAATCCTCCGTGCCTCCGTGCCTCCCGCCCCCATCCCGTGTCGCTGAAGGGGTTAAAACCCCTTCAGACACTTACCTGAATCTCAGAAACTGCAAAAATTACCACTGTAAGGTCAAGTGACATGGGGCATTGCATCCAGACGACTTCAATGAGCTGAAGTGGTCTGGGTGCCTAAAGTGTCCTTTTAATGTGGGAGAAAGAAGTGAGTTGAATGTATTAGGGAGTACAGGAAGGCAGCCCTTATTAAGCAAATGAAGTTCTCAAACTGCGTTACTCATTCAAAGTAACCTGAGAAATCATGTTTAACTGGAATTTACTACATATGTGGCAAATAAATTATGTACTAAAAGCTGGAAACAGTCTCGGTTAGCAAATATTGGTGCAAATCACTTTTTCATGGATTTGTGATCCTGATATTTACTAAACGCAAATGGGAAGGGTGGGAGAGATTATGGTGATTTTCACCAAAAACAAAGCACATCTCAATTTGACCAATATGATTTCTTCTTTAAACTCAACAATTTATAGGTACAAATCCCGTGCAGAGAGTAGGATTTGCATATTTTCCAAATTTATACCGTATTCAATGCAATCTGTCCAAATGGCAGCAATATTTGGTCAAAATTAGCAGCCAGTGGGCAGTAATTTAAATCAAATTTCAATTGATAAAATAATTCAAACTTGGGTCCCCCAGCGCCTTATTAATCAGGAGGGATTGTACTATATATTCTCACCATATGGAGTAGTGATGCAATATATTTAAATTGCAAGTGTCAATCATTTTTGGTCTATGATATTTCCTATTTTACTTTTTTTTTTGCAATTGAGCACCAGCAAATATGGAAAACAACTGGATTTTGATAGTTCACATGCATATTTTCATCATATTCAGATTCCAATAATTTGGTTATGCGGTGTTGTATAGCATTCAAATTGCTGATTTTAGGGTCATCGGCGGTTCTACCAAGTATACACCTCTGAAATGCTACACGAATGAATCACAAAACAACTTAATAATTCTTTTTGTGATTTGAAGTTGATGAGTTGATGGTTAGGGGACAGCTACTAAATTTTATGTTTATTCAGAGTTCAAGTGAGAAGCAATCAGATAAAATCAGAAGCAGTTAAAATATATATATATTTTTTATTAAATAATTAATTAATTGATTAATTAATTAATTAATGTGTATGTGTATAGATTGTTTGTTCCTTGATTATTTCCCTCTATTAGTTACCCTTTTTTCACATAATCTGTAAACCTATATAGAAAATGTACCTGTATTAGTGTACTGCAAAATGTGTACATAGTATGTATATTAGGTATATATTTTACAGTAAATTGATTGGTCAATTTTCGCACCCTTTTCGTCCTTCTTTTCCCTGTAACTATGGCATGGAGGAAAATTGTCATACCCGAAAAATGCCACATAACTATATCTTGAATGTCTGAAACAATCTTTTTTTTCTATAATTCAGAGCTTAATAAATGTACTGAATTATGTCCAGATTTATATGTTTAAATGCTCCTAGTTTGTCTCTGATTTTTTTACCATCCGGGCTAAACTAAATTTGGACTTTATTAAATAACCGTGAATATTTTTAGGAATCTAAATGAGAGTAGTCTTTGGTGCTAAAGCAAGGACACGCAGCATGGCCCTCCAGACATTGTTTCACCATAATACCAATCATTTTCTGCCATTTAGAAGTTGCAAAGAATTCTACTGAGTGCAATTCAACAACATCTTCCGTTGTAATGTTGAACACATTTGAGCTGAAGTAGTAATAGCTATCATAAATTAAATGTATTTTACAAAACCTTTCAAATGTTCTTTGTGAGGAGCTCCCTTTCATTAATGCATTAGCTTCCTTTCCTGAATTGCTTTTATTATTAATTTTTGTCCAAGAGATGGTTAAAAGACTTACTTGCTCCGGAAGTCATCAGATGCCAGCTTTGCATTGTCCAACTCTAGAAAGATTCCAGCATTTTCTGAGTAAGCTGAATGAATCTAAAAGACAGACATTAGCATAATGTGAAAAAATGTACATTGGCTTTTGCCTATACATCTTCTTAAAAGTTCCCCAAGTAAAAAATAGAAAGCGACGACAGACATCATATTCATTTTTAGAATTATCTGTTTTTCTTGGCTTAGTGAACAAAATGATGCCAAAACTGCTGATTTTTTTTTTTTAAAAGCCCCATCTCGGCTATCATCACATCTAGGCTATTTTATTATCAAGTTAACAATTAATTTATCATTTCACCTCAATTTGCTGCTAAGTGAATATTGCTTACAATTTATACCGTATTTAAAATGTCTAAGAAGCTGAACCCTCACTAGAATTTTCTTTTTAAGTCTGCCCGATCACAATGCAATGTTTTCTAATGAAGATTATTTTGACAGATTTTCAAACAAATAAACATCAAAGTGACTGAAATTGCTTGTGCCATTGTTCAACAGGTTAAGACAAAGAAAATTATCTTGCATTCTTTATTTCTGGTGACTATAGTGTCCCTTTAAATATAAAGTATATTACTCAGTATCCTTAGTCTGGTCGTGCTTACAAACATTTTAGTAAAAATATTGCAGAAACATGAATACCTACCAATTGGTGATTATAAGGTTTGTGCAACTATTTACCAAAAAACACACTCTAAAACTTGAGTAAGACATACAATTATTAATGTATGTGGGCATAATATTTACATATTGTACCTTTAATACAGTTATTTATATACTATAGGACTAGAGTTAGACAGGACAGTGACTAGTAGTTGAGGTGCCCAAGTCCTAACTTATAGTACCATAAACCACACTGTCTGGTTAGATTAGGTTTATGGATTGACCAAAATATATATTTTGATAATTCTGTCATAAATTATATTGGTTTTTTTTTTTAAATATGAGTTGATACACCTTCCATTCAAACATTCTTAATTTCTGGTTCTAGAAATGCACAAGTTACTCTTTGTATATATTTTGGTACTAGTGTATCCTCCATTGCAGTCTATTTTGGCCGGTGTCTACAGTTGGCACATGATTTATGACCATACATGATCACACACGATAATGATAACACTGACTTAAGAATATTTTATAATGCTATTTTTAGAAATAAGAATATATTCAGATGTATTTTTCTTTTTGACTCCCTGAGAAGTCTCTTATATTTATGGATGTAAATGAAAATGAAAAATGTATATTGCCATATATTACAGTTGTAATGGAAATGTTAAATATATATTTAACAAATTATTTATATATTTTAAAAAAAAGTTTTGAATTACCTGGGTTTGGAGTTCTTTAATGATTTTGTAGTATTTGCTAACGTCTGGCAATGCGCTGGGTTGATTTTGTTCATACCATTCTCGGATATTTCTCTCTAGTTGGGTGTTTTCCTTCTCCAGTGAGCAGACCTTCTCTAGGTAGGATGCCAATCGGTCGTTCAGACTCTTCATGGTTTCCTTCTCATTGAAACTAAACAAGCCATTGTGTTTCAATCCTGCCTGAAAGGCATGTCCAGAGCGGTATCCATAACTAGAAGAATTCTGTAGAGAGAGAGAAATCCCTTTGCCTCCTGAGCCTCCATGAACACTTGGAGCCCTATGACGACTTCCGTGGTGGACGTTTTTGAAACTTTCATGGTGATGAACTGACGAGCTTCGTTGGGAAGTTTGGCAACCTCCTTGGACAGATCTAGACTGCATCTGTTTCACACTGTGGCTCATGTTGGAGAAGATATTTATTTTATCTTAATAGGAATAATAGTTACAGTTACTCTACGGTTTGAGCAAGGAAGTACGAAGGATCTATGCCAATGGCTTTCCTTTTATAAAAGCACTAGGTGTAGTATAATCGACAGGCTTTCATTGAGCGTTAACAGGCTTTTAAAGGCGATGGGAGGATTTATGTAATGACTAAAACAACTAAAGCTCTTATTCATGTATTATAGCATTCTAATTTGGAATGGAGCATTTGCCACACCCTGAGAAAATGATTGATTGTTACTAATGAGGAAGACACTGACACATTGAGCTGTAAACTGCCATTATACACATGTATTCATTTTTGCAGGCACAGTCATTCCATATTGATTTATTATGAACCCTATGAACAAATAGTGATCAATGTGCTAAAAATCCTGTATTTGTAATTACATTTATTTCATCAACTACAGGTCGGTGAGACTTGTGGCTATACATGTCACAATGTTGAGTTGTTATATGACTTTAGAGATAGCTCCAAATGTATCTGAATAAAAGTCTAGTTACTTTTTTCCACGCTTTGTTCTTAAAATAATGTTTATTTTAATATTAATGTAAGATTTTAGTTAGATGTATATAATCAAATTACCGTTGTGGTACAATTTTAGCTACAAAATAGCTGATATAAATCTTTTTTCGATGTGTTTTTTGGCTATTTAGCAGCTACACCAGATCATGGATAAATGAAAAAAAAAAATACTATTAAAATAAAATAAAAATATTTACATCCCCTGCAAATGATGAAAATCAGCAGTCACTCAGCAGTTATAATGAGATTCATTCAGGCCAGGAAGTGGCTCCACCAATCAAGACTCTCTGTTTCTGGTCAATGGGTTTTAAACCTATCCCATAAACCCCTCTTAAGTTCAGCCACTGGCAACTGTTTCATTCATCAGTTCAGCTAAATTAGTCAGTTAGATTGATAAAAAATCATATCGTCACTGCTATCAACTTACTGACAGCTCTGTTTTCAACTTAGTGAATGTAGCACACTGTATCTGATAGCAGGGCCAAGCGTGTGCACCTCTTCGGTTGTCTGAGATATGAAAATGGTTGGTTTATAGCTACAAAGGCTTGCATTATAGCTGCAAATCCATGCAAATAGTAAGCTCTCAAGACAAGAACAGGGGAACTTCATGCACTGTAAACTATGAAATGAGCATACATCCCTGTGGTACTTCGAGCATCCCTTTAATCCCTTAAAGGACAGAACTTCTGGAATAAAAGGGAATCATGACGGAATATTTCCGTCATGTGTCCTTAAGGGGTTAAAAATAGAATTTTGTTTTAGGAATCTATTATGAAAAATGTATTTGTTTTTTTAATGGTGTTTATGTGCAAAGGTAAAATCACCGGAAACTTACTCAAATCTCAGGTGTCCAGGGCTGACACCGAAATTTCTAGGAAGAGATGATAGACCTTGAAAGTTTTTGCATTTGTACGGTAACCCGCAAAAGAAGCAAGAAAGAAAAACGAGAAAGAAACTCACCGTGCATTGAAACAGGACTGCTTGTATTAAATAAAGAATAGCTCTTACATAAAATGTAAATTGTGCAAAAAGCCAACTAAGTAAGCCTCATAATATCCAACTCTACAGCTGTCCTGTTTCTGCGTAAAAGAGGATCGGAGGATCTAAAGACTAAAGCTAAAGACCATCCCCCACTGAAATCCATACCACTTTGGATGACATCTTCTCCATGATGAATTTTGTTCAGGTCTTCTCCCAACACACTCTTTTGTCACACTGTCTATTTATGTATTCCCTTCATGACGATAATGTAGATTCATGCACTAACCATAGTGGAGACATAATGTCAGCCCATCAGCATCATTAGCTTTTTTTTTTTTTCAAACTGTTTTTCAGTAGTTTGACAATATAAACGGAACGTTAACTATCTCTTGCAATCTTATCTTACTGGCAATGGTAGGAAGAAGAAAATGACTATTGAAAACATTTATTCTTTTAACAGTTTTTAAATTATATACATTATTTGTAATGACTAAGTAAGGAATTTATTTTTTCTATAACTTACTAACGAAGTCTATAATAATGAAAAAGTTGGTTTTGGAAGTAAAGCTTAGATGGGGGACGGGACGGGACTTTTCATGTTAGAAGGCAGCATTAAATTAGCTGTAATCACATAAGGCCACGTTCAAGAAACTTTAATTAGATATACTTAAAAATATATATTATTGTGTAAAAATCGAACTACTATGTACTTAATGATAGAAAAATTAAAACTACTTGTTAATTTTAAAGTTAGCTAACTTGTAATGACCCTCTTTGTGTAATTGTCCCTTTCGCCAGTCCATCTACGTGTTTTTTTTTCCCTTAACCATCCCCTCTGTATGTTATTGTCCCGTTCCCCTCTGTCATTGCCCCTTCACCAGCCTCTGTGTGTGTTATTGTCCCCTTCCCCAGCCCCTCTGTGTGTTATTGTCACCTTCCCCAGCCCCTCTGTGTGTTATTGTTCCGTTCCCCTCTGTCATTGCCCCTTCCCCAGCCCCTCTGTGTGTTATGGTACCCTTCTCCAGCCCCTTTGTGTACTTGAATTTTCCAAATATTTTTTCGATTTGACATGGGATGCCGTGGCCTAAATTTTGCAGTTTGTCAGATCACAACATATCACTGTTAGGCGTTTACGCATCCAAGGAATAAATAATTTAAATAAAACTTACCAGGTGACCAGAACCGTAGATGAGAAATGTCACAAGTACATAACACATTCTCACTTTAGTATTGGGTTCTACCTACAAGTGATTTCTGTAGGGCGTGCTTTACTTGTCAAATATAATCATATTTCTGTTTTTTTTTTCTTAGTGTTGAGCTGAGTGACATTTCTAAACAGATGATTGTGTTAACATTTTCTTTGAAGTGGGAACCTCGGCTTTGTAAAATAACTAATGCATTATAGTTTTAGACACTCCTTACAATTCTTTTTTTTTTTTTTTTACTGAATGTATTTAAGTATTTTTTTAAAATCTATTTTAGGTTATTTGTTATCCTCACTGAATCATTATTCTTACAAAGGGTTATCTACTGATTTGAGGACAGATATGAATTGACCAAGAAATATAATACTGGAGTTTAAATATATGAACTGAAAAAACACTGTAAAGGGACACTATAGTCACCGGAACTACTACAGCTTACTGTAGTGGTTCTGGTGTCTATAGCATGTCCCTGCAGGCTTTGTAATATAAATGCTGCCGTTGCAGAGAAAATGCAGTGTTTACATTGTTGCCTTGTGACACCTCTAGTGGACTAGGAAGCCACTAAAAGGGCATTAGTCTAGTGCTACACAGTGTACAGCACCTACATTCAGTGTCTCCATGCTCTACAAGAAGATGCTGATTGTTCCCCATAGAGATTGATTGATTCAATGCATTTCTATGAGGAGATGCTGATTGGTGCAGCACGAACTTTGACGCGTATGCGCAATAATCTCCTGGCTGAGATAATCAAGGTAAATGATCTCAACCATGGAGGTGGACCCAGGTGCGGTGAGACTGGCGTGGAAGTGGAGAAAAAAAGGTAGGTAAAATCACCTTTTCAGCACAATCAGAGGGTAGCCGTGTACTTATTATTATTACTGGTATTTATATAGCGCCAGCATATTCCATAGCGCTTTACAACGTTATCAAAGGGGAGATTTAACAATAAATGAGACAATTAGAAAATCTTACAGAAACAGAAGGTTGAAAAGGGCCTTGCTCAAACGAGCTTACAGTCTAAACAAACAATTCATGACTACAGTATCAGGAATACACGTTTGTATTCTTGACACTATAATGTTCCTTTAAACTCAGATATTTTTCCTGCTTGCCTCAATTAACTGCTCAGCAATTCATAGTTTATTGAAGATCCATGATAGATGTGTTAATGCAAGAACATAATTTGCTTATATTACATAACTAGTGACAAACAGAGCAGGTTACATACACCATAAGGTCAACCTAGGTGGCCATCTAGGGTGCAGAGATACGATGGAAGACTAGAAACATGAATTTGTTTGGCCCTATTAACTATCTCTATGTGAACAATAAGGAGGGAGCCCAAACTGGTCATTTGGCCAGGTCCCCGTAGGGTCTTAACTCTCTGGTGACAAATAGTCCAGCGCTACTTTGCATTGCGTAGTTCACATGTTCTTCTGCAAACTATGCACAATGGAGGTGATGCAAATGAGTGTTGGAAATAGCCCTGTTTTTGTATTTATTTATTTATTTATTTATTTGCTTTTTTTTTTTTGCCACACTGCTCCTAAACAGTTAAAAACAAAATCAGGAGAATCACAATGGAAACATCAGCTAACATCCAAAACCACGTAGAAAGCAGATGCAGTCCACAATAAAGTAAAACACAACATTTATTGAAAAAGTAAAAAAGAAAATTACAAATTCAAGGATATAGCAGTAAAAAACACTCAAAAGCATATCCCAGGAAGACAGTGTAGCGGAGTAGTAGGTTAATCCACGGTATCTCTGGTGGTAGTCAGGAGTCAGCATGCAAAATACAGGTAGCGTAGTAATAATCCCTTTTTCCCAAGAACTAGACAACACATAGTTTGGGAGTCAACTGAGCTTTTATTCCAAAGTCACCGTATGCAAGGGGTTTCCATACTGGCATTGCAGGGGTTTTCCTTGGGTGGACTCTGTGGAAAACGTACCCTGCACTGCTATTTCCCATCATGCATTGCAGTACTGGAGAGATAATTGTGTAAGAATATACTGTTAATTACATTATCTCTCCGGACAGCAAAATATACCATTTCACGTAAAAATCCATAACTTGTACATTTTTACTCCGAATTAAAATACTCCTTTCACAAGAATAGGAAAGCCATTCGAATGAAGGGTTCATACGAACACACATTGCAATTATACCATAGAAAGTAAACGGTTAGAATATGCGGGTTCGGCAGTTTTAAAATGCCCTATTTGCACGAATACATGTTTTATACGAA